TGTTGTTGTTGCTGTTGTTGTTCTTCTTCTTGTTATTGTCGTTCTTCTTGTTCTTGTTATTAATTCTAGTTATTGTTCTTGTTGTTGTTTTACTTCTTGTTGTTGTTGATGTTCTTGTTTTCGGTTGTTGTAGTAGTTGTTGTTCTTCTTATTCTTCTTGTCGTTGTGGTTGTCGTTGTGGTTGTGGTTGTGGTTGTGGTTGTGGCCGTTGTTGTTGTTGTTGTTGTTGTTGTTGTTGTTGTTGTTGTTGGTGTTGGTGTTGTTGTTGGTGTTGTTGTTGTTGTTGTTGTTGTGGTGGTGGTGGTGGTGGTTGTTGTTGTTGTTCCTGGTGATGTTGGCGTTGATGGTTTCGTTCTTCGAGGTTTTGTTCGGAGGGAACCGGGCGGGCACGGGATGGCGTCAGGCCTACATGGTGCCTCGCGAGATACGTTTCGTTGAGGCGGGATGTGGTAGGCGCCGGCAGATACTAGACCCTAGACCGATTCCCAGTCAATGCCAAGAACGTCCGGTAAACATCAGCCCAAACAGTTCTGTAGGCACAACGTCAACGTGACTCTAAAACTCATAAACGCCAACAGCTCAAGGTTCCCAAAGCCAGAGAGCTGTTCCATTGGTGGTATTCGTGTTCTGCTGCCTTTGAGCAACCCCGCACATCGCAAGAAAGACACGATTCAGACCTTTCACTGCCGCAAGCTTATCGACATCCCCAAAGACATTACTACACAAAGCCGATGAACAAACACCATCTTAGCGATAACAGCCAACTCGGGAGTCAGAACACGCACACTTCTGCTGCAGCTGGCTGGCGATGATGATGGCGATGATGGCGACGATGAGATGACGAAGCAACCCGCGCCAGCACCACTGCTGCCGCCACCACCAGCATCATCAACGTCACCGCGACCGCCAGCACCATCATCAGCAGCATCAGCATCAGCATGCTCAGCATCAGCATCAGCATCAGCATCAGCATCAGCATCAGCATCACGATCATCATCATTATCATCATCATCATCTTCATCATCTTCACTGCACCGTCATCACCATCATCACCATTGTCACCATTACCATCATTCCTGTCAGCATCCCCTCATCATCCTCGCGGTCATCGTCACCCACTGCAACGTCATCCCCTTGCCCTTCGAGGCACTGCCGCTCACTGCATCGGGGAAGGTCGACCGTCGAGCACTGCTCGAGTCAGCGCCTGTTCCCGGTGGACAGAACCGAGCAGGTGCACCGGAAGCCGTGGCTTCTAAGGGCAATGTTCCATTGCCGGTGTCGTAGGCAGTCTGGCAGCTGGAAGTGTGAGGGAAGTGCTGTTCTTGGCCCTGGCTGAGCCCTCGGATCTTTTGTGACGGGACCGACCCATTGTCCCTTGAGACTCGAGGGAAGCCACGCTGGTGCCTCCTTAGACCTGGGAGCTTCGCTGGCAGAGCTGGGGGCAGCTCGGGCTCGGTGTGCCTGTTTTAGCGTGTGCATGTCCCAAGACCAGTGCTGCTTCAGATGCACAGCCGGTCGGACCTCCAACCAAGGTAGACTCGCTGACGGCAGCCCCCCTAGCAGAGAGGCAAGCCACCTCATCGGTGAAATACAGATGTTTCATGACAAGTTTTGCCCTGGGCTTCCTGGAGGCTTGGCCGCGATGTGTATCTCGGCTGTGGTGTAGCTTTCGTGCAGCTTTGAGGTTTGGACCCATGACCGCTCTGACGGCTAAGGCTGTACGGGCGAGAGGACGTTCCCTTGGAACTGCTGCTGGGAGACGGCAGCCTCGCAGACCTATGCCACCTGCCGTGAGGGAGTTGATTGTTGGTGTCGCAACCGTGGCGAAGCGTGGGCCAAGGTGGTTACCTAGAGGAGCGCCAGCAGATTCTGAGTCGGACAAGCCCTGGCGATGCTCAGAAACAGACTTGCCTGAAGTGCTGAGGCGGTGCAAGCATAGACAGACCCCAAGTAACATAACCCCAGGCGTGGCGGCTTCACCTTCGAGCGTTGCTGCCGGGACTCGGACGACTCGTGCCAGATGCTCGATGACGACGCAGTAGCTTCGATCCTTGAATTCCGCGGAAGCCTGACGACGCCACTCGGTCCTTGGCTCAAGTCTTTGTGGAGCCCAAAGGAGAAAGCTGCCAGCGCTTTCTGGCTCCAAGAGACTTGTGTAGATGTGCACCAGATGGCAGCTGCTCTGTTGCGTCTGCCTCTGCAGGGCCGGGGCAGAGGCGCTGCAGTGCCTCCCTCGCAGAATTGAGAACTCCGCCGATGCGGAAAGTGTCTCATAGCGTCATACGAACAGCTAATAGCGAATCAAGGTGCGGCGTGGGCTTCTTTGCGAACGAGACAGAGACGGGTGCCACGGCAGCTTGACGCATTCGAAAAGCTCTGAGCATTTTGCGCGCTCAGGAGGGCGCGCTTGCCCCCAAGACTGTCCATCCCTGCTTCAGTGCGGAGCCGATACGGGGCGGTCTCGTGTCTGCACAGCCACTGCAGAGCCACAGATCTCAGAAGGAGAGAAGTAAGCAGCGAGAAGCAGCCTTACAAGATCTTACGAGCCTTGCCAGGTACACCTGCGTCAAGAAGGAGATGTGTGGCAGATTGCTTCCGAGAGGATTCGCAGTGCATGAGGACCAGATGTCTCCAATGCCACAGTTTCGGATGTTTCCAGCCTGCACGTTCGATGCCTGCCGGCGACTTCAGGACGGAACCGGCCGATGCGAAAGCTGCGATATTCCAGGATGCGACAAATGTGCGGACGTGGCTCAATGCGCTCGATGTGGCAGTGGATTCGAGGAGCTATCTGGCAGATGCATCTTCACTGACTCAGCTGACGGGGCTTCGTATGCCAAAGCTGTGTCAAGCATGGAAAAGTGCGCATAGCAAGGCTTCTCCTCGTTTTGGCCATATCAGTGGGCGCATTTGAGGTGAGTGGAGGGCGAAGATGCTATGGCAAGCAGTCGGCATCGTGGGAGTCTTTCTCTTTGCTTGGGCCTGCCTCGATTTTGCCATGGCTCATCTCAAAGAGCGGACCAATCACGCGGCGCTGAAGGCGATTTAGCCACATAATTCTTCGGACCAAACGGAGCTTCATAGCAAGGTTGGGTTGGTAGTAGGCCGTGCATGCTTGTGTCATCAGATTCTGTCATTGAGGCAGGCTACATCTCTCGCTGGCGTGCAAAGCTTCGAAACAACTACGCCGCGAAGACGCATCAGTTACTGACCATTACCTGACCGCACATCACATCAGCTTTGGACTCATGTTGTGGAAAAGGGAACACAATCCTCGCTTCACAAAGTCGCAAGAGGGGTGAAGCCAGGGCCGTCGCCTAAGGAAATGGGGAGACCGCAGTACCCTCTGTGCTCTTCCATGCATTGGCATTCCTCCGGGACGGCACCGATCGGCGGGCCCGGCACAGTGCTCTGCATGAATTGGTCGCGAGGATGCACTTAGTCCAGAGGGCAGCTCTTTATGGCCAAAGAGCAACATGCCAATGCTGTTCTTGTGGCTCATAGGTTTGCGCTGGTGGCTGCCGTTGGCATCTGGCTGTCGGTCCTGGCGTACCATTTTGCACCGCAGTGGAAGCCAAAGCTGCTGGACCGGCTTGACAAGCATCCAAGACTTATCCAAGAGTCCAATGTGTTTTCTCCCTGTAAGTGGTAGACATGGATCTCCAGGACCCGACGCTGGTGTGGAAATGCAACCTTGAACACCTTCAGAGCCCGGACCAGTGGCACGGTTTCTGGGCGGCGCTGAACTACGCTGGTTCCTCGTCAGCGACAACTGTGGATGTTTCCTGTTTTCACCGTCTTGAAGTGAAAGCTGAGAAAGAGCTTGCACGATTCGCGGTCGTCAAAGAAGGTGCGACGGTGCTGTCTGCGATCTTCCTCATGTGGCAAAGCTTGCAGTGGACGAGCATGACGCACGACACGGAGGGAGACATATGCCTGCATTTCTATTGTGACTTGGTTGCGTGGTGCATGGATGATGTCCACTCACGGGAAGGTCATACTCAGTGGCATGCTGCACAGGTGTTGAGGCATCCGGCTTCCCGGAGGATGCAACTGACAAGGAAGAATTGGCGGACGCTGGCCTTGACATTGGTGATCAGTGTCGTCAGTCGATCACTGTAGACTGTAGACTTTCCGTTACAAAGCTGCCCATAGCTTGACCATGACTAGTTAAGGCATACTTCAGTCGGGCTTTGGTTGATCTCGGCCTTCCGCCAGATGGAGTCGAGCACATTTCCATAGGCGGACGTGGGGAGACGGAGCGCCTGCGCTGAACTGAGTCCCGCTTTGATGTTTGTTTGAGGCTACAAGTTCACTCCAGCTGAAGCTCTATGGGTGGAGCAAGCCATGGAGAGGCATCTGGCGGAGGAGGATGCAAATGATCCTGGAAGCCCAAGCCACTACCAGGAGACTTCTGGTGGCTATGGGCCCCTGAGCCAACGACAGGTCTCCAGAAGTGTTGGCGAAGCCGAAATGAGGGAGTTGAAAGCCATGACTGCCGATTTCAGCGACACTAGTTCTGACGCGGAAGACGCAGATCCAGGAGGCTTTTGGGTTCAGCTGCTTGCCGGCGCCACCTGGCTCTGTCTTGGACTAGATGTCGGAAGTGGCTTGTGCCACAAGGATTTCTGATGTCTGGCTGCTGAGCGCCAAGGTCATGTGTGGCACCCCCTTCTCGTGCCGCGAGACGTCTGTAGACCCACAAAGTATCTGCCAGAACGAAGACTTGGATGAGCTGAATGCGGATCAATTCCCGAGCTCCGGTCTCGTGCAGCTTGCCCAACAAGCGGCAGATGTGCAGTCGCAGAAAGTTGAACCCGTCGTGACGATCGGGCAAGCCACGTCCAGGTTTGTCGTTCTGAAGATGGAGCCAGTGGCTGTGGCACTTGCCAGTGCGCAAGTCTTGCCAGGCCGGGCCATTTCAGAATCAGAATCAGAAGAGTCGGAAATCAAGTTTGATGAGTTCTAGGTCGAATGGCTTGAGCCCTCGTGCGGTGAGGCCGCTTCCGTGGGGTGCACGAGATCAAAGTCAAGCGATGCCAAAGCAGCCCACAGGTTCTCGGGCATCTCGTGCAAGACTAAAGCTTTCCTTCATGGACATGGCCTGTCGTGAAGTTGCGACCACATGCATGTGCAAGCTTGATGAAAAATTGGTCAGCTCGGCTGCTTGATCGTTCCCACATCCGAGCACACTCTCTCTCTCCCTACACTGTGCGCAGACGATTCTCTGGGCCAACTTTCACGTCGACTCTCGCACCTTCTGGCGGAGGGCGGTCGTGTGCGTTCCTTTGCACTTTTCCTTGCTGTCAGAGATGTGGTGATACCGCAAACTCGCGTAAACGTTGCGATCTCTCCGCTCTCTTCCCCTCCAAGGTCATGCTTCGTGCTGCTGCTGGCTCTTGCCGTTTGGTTTGGCCTCTACTTTCCCTTCTATCGCCTTTCCATGACGCTTGCGCTGCAGTGATCGTTGTAGCTCGATGTGAAGCTGCATGGTAGAAAACCTGAAGCTACAGGAGCGTTGGCTCCTACAACGTTACGTCGAACCTGGCCGTGGGTGTCTCAAACTTCGCTGGCCTCATTATCGCAGCTTGCTTTCAGCCAATCAGTTTCCGTGCAACCGGCCCATGTAGTACAGTGTGGGCATTGGAACTCGACTTGAGCTTAGGCACTTGGCAACTGTTCTTTGGCTGACGGGAGTTGGCCTGCGTGGTTTTTTAGACTCGCTTGCGCTGTGAGGTGCTTTGTCCATCCTGATTCCCAAGCTCACCGAGTATATGGGGTATTGGCATCAGAGTGAGCAGCACCTGACGGATCTGGCGGTTCTTATACCGTGATTTGGTGTGATAACTTGCTGTGCACTGATCCATCAGTCTCTGCCAGTCCCTGCGCATTCCCACAGTTAGGGCAGGGCAGAGCCGAGGTGCGTAGCCGTGAATTGCCTCATGGCTGCTTGGCTCACTCTTTGTAGTGTGTCGAGCTTTCGGCGTGTGAAGTGGGCTGAATCCGCAGCCCATCTGCACTCAGGACTTTTTCGTGGGAGCCTCGACTTCGTCCAAAAAAACTGCCACGATGACAGGAAGCGATGCTTAGAAGGTCTTGTGGCTCCATGTGGTGCCAGGTCACGAGCTACAGTTCCGTGCAGCAGCTGTCGGACAACCTATCGCATGACCTCAAACTGGAGGTGGTGCCCCAGCCTGCCTTATTGACCTGAACCTGTGTTCTTCAGGGGCCCATGCATAGGATTTTGGTGCGATCCCGGTTGCGCGAGAGACGGGCACCTCAGGTCGAGGATGCTCGGCAACAGCTAGCAGTGTCGGCAGGCTTGCAGCGTGCAAGCTTGTGTCATGTCGAGTTGCGCACCTGTGCATGAGTGTTACCCGCGATGCACTTGCAGCTGGCAGTTGTGTCCCATTGCAATCTGAGGAAAACTTGGTCTACCTTCTTTTCCCGTCCTATGTGTTGTTGCCCTATCTAGTTGAGCCAGCGCCTGCACAGCACACATGCACTGCAGCTGCAGTCGTGCCTGATGGATAGGCACCGTCCAGGGGCTCGGAAAGCGCCGAGGTGGCCACCATCGCATTTGCCTTCTACATCGCAGTTCTTCGAATAAAGCGCGAGTCTCGGTGGCAATGCAGACTTGTCTTTCTCTCAGTGCTCTCGCCTCTGTGTCCTGCACAAGTCCATTCCTTGGTCTCTGATGGGTGCAAGCTTCCCCGAGGACGGCCGAATCACTCCGGGGCAGGCAGAAGTTGCCATGATGGCACCAGAAACGGTGACCTGTCAGCATCTCAAGGTACCAAGCAAACCAAGGAAAGGAGGACACTGTCCTTGGTCTTAAGGTACCAGGAAGGAAAGAAGGCGCCGTGCTGTCTGGCTCAGGATCTCAAAGTGCCACTTGCAGATTTGCACCTTGGCCCCCCAAAAAAAGGGACCAGAATTCTAGTCTGTAGTGATCACTACACGGATCAACGAGAAGCTGTCGCTGTCGTTTGTGCGGCTCAGGATCTGCACGACGTCCACCATCTTTTCAACATTTCTCCTTGGGCCGAGCATGTACCACAGACCTTGGCCTCAACGAGCTGTTGCCTTTTTTTTTTTTCGTGAGGGGCCTCATGGCTTTCTTTTGGCCCTCGAGGAGTCTTCTTCCTCCTCATTGTCGTTTTCAGCGGGGTGGCTCCTTGGCATCCCCCTATGTCCCCTTTGCGTTTTCGTCTGCGGATGTTTCTCGGATGTGAGGCTTACATCCAGTACCGCGTCCGAGTCCTGCGCTGGGACTCGGCGTGCTTCCAGGGCACAAAGAGCCTGCACGTGCCGGAGCCGCAAGAAGCCACGAAGCGTCGGGAGATGTCGGGAGATAATGGGAAACTTTTGATTGACCAGTACCAAGGCCTGCCAAGCTGCATACTGGTGTTTCCCCTTGGGCCTCCTCGCCGCAGCCTGGGAGCGATCGTGGAAAGCGGTCCCAAACAACGACTTGTTTACTGGTTGGCACCTTGGCTCGCATAGCCGGGCCTCGTCAACTCAGAATGCGTGTTCTGCGCACTTCCTCAGACCAAGGCACGGCTTCACCGCGCCTCTTGATTGCAGGGCCACCGGTTTGCTTCCGCTTGGCAGAAACAGAGACGAACCCAGGCATTGCATGATGCATTTCATCTTTTTGCGCTTCGTCTTACCAGGCTCTGGGTTCGGCTCGCTTGACGGATTTAACGATTCGGTCTGAAGCGCGGATGTGCAGGTCTGGAGCCTTCGGTTCCCAGCAGCCAGCTGTCCTACTCGGAGGCCCGGTGAGTGTCCTCCGAAATTTCCTGGCCATTGCTGGCCTTGCAAGGCTCTCAGCCAGCTGGGTGGCCTGCTCAGAGGTGATTCGGTTCGTCCCGCTGTCGTCTTGGGTCCCAGGCTTGAACTGGAAACTGTACGCGGCGGAGTTTAGATGCCATTGCCGACAAATCGGAAGGGCCCATGACAATGTCAAGGGCCTTGTGGCTCGGATCAGCGTTGGGATATGGAGGGCTGGACTGTTCATTGGCGCCACCAAGAGCAGCTCCTTGGGACTACCCCAAGGAGGCTTGCTGGGCGTGCACTCTGGACGGAATCTGTCTTTTTCGGAACATTGTTGGGGGCTGGCAGGGGGGCACGGCCCAAGAGGGCACGTGGGGCGCCGCGTCGGTCATGGGTGGTTGGTGAGTGGCCGACTCCAAGTAAGGCTCTCCGAAGTGTTTCCTGCGAGATCGCCATGCCACATCGTTTGCCCCTGCTACACCTGTGCTTTGCTACCGTCATCCTCCGAGCTTCTCTGGAAAGGTGGGACAGCTGGGCTAGCTGACTACCTGAACACCAACCCCATCGAGGTGCTTTGCCCGTAAGCCCAAGCCATCGATGCAAGAGAGCTCGAGAAGTAGCAAGCTAGCAGCTAGCCGCTAGCCCGTGAGGTGCTCAAGAGCCATGAGGTGCCTGAGCTGTTCACGCGGCAGCGACTGATTTACTATCGACCCGACAAGGAGTATCTGCGCCTTGGCTCTGCAAAGTTCGGAAGGAAGGTGAAATCAAGGACACGTCGCGGTTCCAGTCTGCTGTTTCCTTCATGCCTTCCGAAGGCAGCGACGAGCTTGCAAGTTCACAGCAGGAGCAAAGAACGATCAGACGATTGCATGTCATGTCGTCAGGGTATAGCCAAGCGCGACTGTTTACGATGGCACTGGGCGGAATGGAACTGATTTACTCGTACAGCTCGCTGCAGGAGACAACGGCTTCATGATGAGTATGCTGGATCGCATGCATGCCGATGCGAACTCCGTGGTGCTGCGCCCAGGGGGCACTGCAAATCATCGGCGTTGCTCTTGGTGATTTTTTCTTGGGGGCCTATTTCTAGCCAGGTCTCTGAAATGGTCACCTCCGTGGGCCGCCCCCTTGACCAATTAGCAGTCGCTCGGCGAAATCCTGCATTTTGCCAATTTTGCACTTTTCAGTGGAAAGGGGGCCCCCGAAGCTGTGCTGCAGGCTCACGGGGCTGATTGGAGTCTTGCAAGCCGGAGGAAGGCCCAACTCTTCATGCGGGCGAGATCCGGCTCAGATTCTGAGACAGGTTCGGGATAATGCAGACAAGCTACAGCAGAACAGAAAGCCCATGCGAGCCCCATGCATCCACATGCAGACCAAAGTCAGGGCCACAAAGAGGGCCAGTCTGTCTGTGGGGTGGGAAAACCCTGTAACAGAGCATGTGCAGTGCGCAAAGCGAGCACGAAGCGCATCGGGGTGGATCCGAAAGAGCAGCTAGGAGTCGCTCGCAATCTCGCAACCGGCTGATTCGCATGAAGGGTCTGCCGTTTCTCAGGCTGGGATTCCTCGTTTACCTTCGATCGGTGTTGCAGCCTGACAGCTGTGAAGCGCTATGCGTCACTCCGGCAAATTACATGCGGCCGGCAGCCCTAACGACGCGCTGCTTCACCGTGGGCAGATGTGAGTTGCCTGTCGGAATTTGCAGGGACTTCAACTTCGAGCCGCCCCAGAAGCTGCACTACGAGCTGCCCACCTCTCAACTATTCAGCGTCGCGTCCCCATCTTATGTTCCTGGGATAGCCCTGCCAGGTTCCACCTCGAGCGTGACAACAAGCCTAGGCTTGGACCCGTGCAGGCACCGGAGCAGTGCCCGGCAGGACGAGTGACTTGGGTTCGTGTCGGGCAAAGTCTGCCAGGATGACGAAGCACTCCTGCTCTACAGCCTGGTTCGTGCGTTGCGTGTGGGCCTTGCGTGGCACGAAAGTTCGCATTGGCGAGCTAGGCAGAAGCTTCACTTCCGCTTGCCTGTGAGGTCCTCGAACAATCGTAGAGCTGGTTCCTCGGCCTGAGTTGATGTTCATAGTGCAGACCTTGGCGAGCAGAAGTTCCGTAATGCTTTCAATCCAACTGACGGACATGAGGTTTGGAACTTCCAATGGTTTTAGCGCGCTGAACTGGATGTTGCTGCCCCGGCGAAGTTGCCACTGCCACACCTTCAGCACCGTGAACTGTGCCGAGGCATGCAATTGCAGAGGATCCAGATGCTCGGGTCTTCAGCCTGACCCACAGCTTCACGGAGATTTTGCAGAGGGCGACCGTCGGGCGATGCGGAAGGCTACGACATCCTTCCGTACCCCGCAGCGCGAGCGCTGGAGGAGCATCGGCGATTTGCATCTGCATTTTCTGCCTGGCCCATGGATGCCATTTGATGCCTCTGGAACGGTGGAGGACTCCGACCCGCGTTTCTTCTTCCACCAGAAGAGCCGGGAGCCTCCCGAAGCTGCCTGGAGGCAGAGAGCGCAGTGCACTTCCGGAGTTCTCAGGTCAGGCCGACTTTGAGCCAGCAGACGTAGATGGTCGGCCGATAGACGTGGCTTTTTTCGATGCTGGCCACCTCATCGAGCAGCTTGGCAGCAGGGGGGTTGCGCACAAGCACCGGCTTACTGCAAAATGCCGCAAGGTACAGCTTGAAAGCTTTCGAGCGGCTGCATCCAGCTCTGGCTCCGAATGCCTTGGTCGCTGTGCACGACACGGGTTTGCACGCGCAGCCGGCCTGTCGCATCTCCGTCCCCCCGCAATTCCCGTCAGCCCTCCTTTGCCAGGTCCGGGACTTCGGCTCTGGTGCACCGCCAGAGGCCGATTTCGGAGAGTCGGACAACGGCTCCGATTTCCTGAGTGCAGGAAGAGGGGCTGCCCTTCAGCGAGGAGAGCTGCGCCCTGCGCCCTGGAGGGGCAGCCCGTTGCACGGAGCCCAAAGTGGACCAGTGGATTGGAGAAGATCAGTCATTCATAAGTTCCTAAGAACTCCATGAAATGCCTCAGCACAGGTCTCAGGACGGGGGTTTAATGGGAGACGGAAGAGCCAGGGAAGCTGCGAGTGATCTCAAAGTTCGGACTGCCGGATCAGTTCATATTGGATGCCTGCATGTGCCGTCAAAGGAACCAGTCGGTTGCTAGTCTAATGTGGTCAAAGGAACCAGTCGGTCCAGTCTAATGTTCCAGGCCAAAGCAGCCACAATGGGCTTGTAGCAGTGTGAGCCACCTAGCTTCCAAAATCCCATTACCTTCGGACTCCTTCTAGTCAACAGAGCATCACATAGGTGGTTGGAGATGGTTCTTGGCGGCCATGGCCACTCTCCCTTGTCACATCTGCAAAACAACCCACAGCTTTCATAGAGCTGAATCCGAAGTGCCAGATATCCACGAATCCATGGCCCAGCACTGGTGGGTGTTGTGCGCCATGGTCCTGTTGTGGAGGAGCCTTGGGACTCTTGCCCGCAACAGGGAGACGCTCCTTCTTTTGGGGTACTCGGTGGAAAAAGCCCCGAGGCTCGGAAGCTGCCGAGGCTTCGCTGTGCGCGGCCCTTCAGGCCCCAGAAAAACGGAGATCGGAGGGCAAAGAGAGACGGACACTTGCCTTCCGAGGCAAGTCCCTCAGAGGCTCGAGGAAGGGAGCCGGACTGAGGTCGAGGAGCCCAGTTTTCCGACAGCTTGCAGCCTTCGGTGCCACAGAGCTTGTCATCGGTTTAAGGTTTTCGGTCCTGGCGCAGCAGCTGGAAAAGGTGGCTGCTGCAACAGGAAAAGGCAGCGCAGACCGGAAGGTCGAGCTTCTCAAGTCACTTGGATGGCAACAACCACAGGTACACGATGCAGAACGTGAGAATGGCACGAGCTTTTGATGCTTTTGCTGTGCCAGATCAGCTTCCTCCTAAGGGAGCTGTTCGATAAATCGCCTTTGGCAGACACCAAAGCATTGCTACATCTGCTGCTAACTCGGTGGGGGCTTCACGGCTCGGCCCAGCTGCGAGCCCCTCTGCTATTCAATTGGTCGCTTGTCACAAAAGCTTATCGAATTCGATCTGGGTCGATGGTGGACGCTGGACCAAGGTGGGGTCAGCAGTGTTGCAGGCGGCAGTTGCAGACATGCAGCTCAGTACCGAATCTGCTGAGGAGCTTACCATGGCTGTGCAATGAGATCGTCCCACAAGACTTAGAAATCGGCGCCAAAAGCAGATTTCCAGGACACCTTGGCAAAGTGGCTAGCCACCGGGGAGGTGGCCGACATCGGAGAGGGCTGGCAAAGGCTGATGTCAGCTTCAGCTTATTGAGTACACGAGTCGTGCATCGTACTCTGTACTTGTTACGTGATCGCAGCTCTCTGCCCACTTTATTTGGCTGCTATCTGAGTGCTCGTCGCTTCGTAAACAGTCGAAGCATGTAAGAAATGTAAGAATTGGCTGATGCGGATGTCCTCCGACTCCAGCAACAGAAACACTCTCGTCTCCTCGGCTCCTGGGCCGACAGCAAAGCAGAGACGGTTTGTCGCTGCGCTGTGCTCGCTTTATGGGGTCACGGTCACAAGTCGTGCTGAAGACTGTGCCATCTTGGTCCCCTTCGCATGCAACCACTCCCACGCGGTGCTAAGTCAACACGAAGGCGCTCTTGTGCTCCTGTCGATATTTGCAAAAAGCCACCCCTCGCAAGGTGCACTCTTCCTTCAAGCCAACCAAGCTAGGCAAGCTGTCATAAGTCTCGTTGAGCATGTGCGAAGTTCGGCCACGAGACCTTCGGGGCTGCGAAAGCTTCCCCGACGAGAAATAGTCAGCGCCCCACTTCTAGTGGTGCACGATCCAACAGGCTTCTTGAACAAGAGCCTCGCAAAAAGAGCGGCCGGGCCAAATTCGAGGACTTCACTGTGCAACAGGCTTGGGAAGCAACCCGGCTGCAAAGACCAAGTCCGGCGAGCTTTGGAGATGTCTACACGGGTCTTCCCTCTTGCGTTTGTGCTCAGCGGAGGAGATGAAGAAGTTCACCGAGATCGAGGACAAGGACGGGTATTCCCCAAGTCTGAACCCAAGAAGCCCAAGCCTGCACTCTCACCTGAACAAAGGGAGCCGTAGCCCGGCGGGCGGCTCTGGTGGCGAGCCTGGCGAATGGCTGCGGCCGCAAGTGTCCGGCTGGTGCAAAGTATGCCTGCCGAATGCTGTGCCTCGGAAGCGCAGCTTTTTGGGACACTTGCCGTCGTGCTCGTCATGTTGCAAGAAGCATTCAGGCAGAAAGGAAAGAGCCTTGGCATCGGGGCCTCGGATAAGACTGTGGCTCTGGCGTTTTCGCAGCATGCACATCTTCCCGATGGTGGAAGGTTCCTGGACCCCCGACCGTAACAGGAGAATTCCTTGATGCACATTTCTGCAATCGGTTTTGATTTTTGGGTGGCTTCGAGTCAGATGTGCCCGCTTAGGAGATCCTTGAACTGAACCCTGATATCGACGCAGCAGTGGACAACATAAAAAACGGCAGTGCCGTGGGGATGGGTGCGCCAAAGAGCAGTGCCCGCGCCGCTCACCTGTGGTGGCCGATCTCACCCTCCACGGCAAAACCGGTCAGGATCCAAGTAGTGATTGCATTTGGGGAATCGTGGTTGATGCGAATGCTGCTGTTCGAGGCAAGGGGCATCGACGAGGTCCTGGCCATAGTCAGCAAAAAGCAGCTCTGATCAAAATGCCGAAGATTGCCTTTGTCGCATGGCATGACCCACAGTCAAAGTGTCAATCCAGTACCGGTAAGGGGCGCCCCATCGGGCTGGAGGGCGGAGTGGAAGTACGACGGCGAAAGGTTGCAGATCCACGCCGAACAACGGCGAAAGATGATCCGCTTCGAGTTGTTCTCCAGACCGCGGGCATGCAACGTTTAAGTGATCTTGCAGACGATACGGGGCTTGTCTTGCCTTTCGCGCATCGGAAGCCCTAGCCTCAACAAGGAAACTTGAAGAACATCACCGCCCGCTTCCCGGAGATTGCAGAGAGCCTGAGGGGCTGTCCCTTCAAGAGCATCATCCTCGATGCAGAAGTTGTGGCGGTTGATGGCGCGACCGGGTTGCACGGATATATATGCTCTTGCCGAAGTTGTTTGGTGGATTTCCGCGAGTTGCCAGGAGAATCAACCGAAGGCCGAAGATTCTGATGATCGGTAAATTCTCATTCCAAATCCCGAGGACAAGATCCTTCCGTTTCAGATCCTGTCGCGACGGCCGCGGGAGGCCACACCGGACTCAAAGCGGTCGGATGCTCTTCGAACTTCTAGATGCGGTTAAATCTTGTCGAAGTTCAGCTCAATACGAGGCAAGTCTACTCAAGTAGGTATGCCTGGACACTTCCAAGGATGTTGCCTTCTTTGCTTTCGACTGCTTGTTCCTGGACGGCGAATCGCTGTTGCGACAGCCGCTGGCGAAGAGACTTGAACTGATGCAGCTTGGCAGCCGTAGTAGTCCGCGTGTTCGTGGTGCCTCCACCGTGTGGGAATATGAGGCACCGAGCAGTCACGCCTGCCAAAGCGAGCAGCCGCTTAAAGTTTGCAGAGGGCACAGGCTTCCGAACCCAGAAGCAGCTGCAGCAGCTTGGGATGAGCTACTGCATGATGCTTCATGACTCTCTCCTACAGAATGTGTACCGCGCAGCCAAGGGCGGCACTGGATATTGCCATCAAGTCCTCGACAGAGGGCCTGATGCTCAAGCAGCTGGATGCTGAATACAAGACACTCGGTGCGATGTTGGATTATTGGCAGCGTCCAAGCCCTGATTGATGTTGTTTGGATCTGATTGTGGCTACTGTGGGTATCTCCACTATTTTCTTGAGCGGCGGCGGCAGAATCCTCCTCGTTGGAGTCACCACGAGTTGTGGACTGAAGGCCAGGAATCCGGACCTCGACATGGTTGAAGCTCAAGAAGGCCGGTGCTTTTCCATTTGCAAGTTGCCTGAAGTGCTGCTGGCCCTGTTTCTCGGCAGGACTACCTGGACAGCGCGCTTAGATTCTCGGCATGCACCGAATTGAAAGGGAGACTCGTTGTCTAGCTCCCGAAAGTTGAAATTGCGGCGAATTTGGGTGGAGTCCAGAATACTCAAGGTGATGCCATTGATGCTGTGGTGGTTGGGGTCAAGCGTGGAAAAGGAAGGCGAAGCAGCGTCTATGGATCTTATCTGCTGGCCGTGAGGCCCACCTGGTGCCAAGAATAAGAAGTCCAAGCTGCAAAGTCGTGCAGATGCTGCTTCATCGGTTGCCCTTCTGCGTAGCTTTGTGCATCATATGCTGGAGTGCAACTGCAGGCAGAGAGATGATGCAGAGGCCAACTACCAGACCTTGTGTGCGACTGGCACGGGCCTGACCGATCAGGACCATACAAACCGCCTTGTGCAAGGTGGCCAGGGTAGCGGCGGGGTCTGCGAGAGCTGCAGGAGCTTCAGGACTACTACGACCTTTGCCGGCCGTTAGTCGGTGACGGCTGCACCGTGCCTGCGCGATTGCAGACTTCCTGGTCTGGCGCCATGCTCTCCGAGTCTTTGCCCCAGAACAAATCTGGGGACGTGACTGGCTTTCTGCGCTTTTCGTTTGCGGCTTTGGCAGGTGGCAGTGGATCTCCGACATCTCCAAGGCTCCTGTGATGGCTCCTGGGACTCCTTAAATTGGCTCCGTAGACCATCCCGGCCAAAATCTGACGGCTGAGGAGATAACTGGAGCTGATCTGACAGTCTCTCGCATGCATTCCTGTGCTGCTGGACGCCTGCGGGGCATCGGTGCAGTGAAGGAGCACGGGCCAGCAAGGGCTTAGCGGCTTAGCTTTGGCCGGCAGACTCCAAGTTCGGAATCGCAGGAGAGCGGTCTGGCTCTTCGCTTTCCACGCGTCCTGAGAGTGCGAGCTGCAGATGACAAAACCGCGGCGACTCCTATCTGCAGACGCAGGAGATTTTTGGGTGAAAACATATTGCCTGCCTCCTTGTCACTGCAGTTGCTATGGGCGGTATCGCTCCAAGGCAGGCGACGACAGCAGAGCAAGTGCTCGACATGTACAAGAAGCAGCCAGGGGCGACTGCTGGTACAACAAAGCGTGGAAGGAAAAGGTTATTCACGGGTGAGTTGCAGAGATTGAAGTATAAGTAGCTCAAGGCCGTGCCAGCGACCTTGCTGGAGTGCATGCACAAGTGGCGCACCTGACACGCGTCTCTCAGCTCTTGGGTTTGCCGCTGAGGCTATCGATTCCGTGACTGCCAAGGCAAGAGAATCACAGAATGAGACAGGACGACGAAACTCGACAACGTTTGTGACAGGTGAAACCGATGCGCATGGGTACTGTGTCGGCCGAGCTCATCGCCCGTCAGAAAGGCCCTAGTGCTGCAGAAGCGACGGGGATCCCTGCAGTGTGGCTGCTCCTACGACAGGCAATTCGTCTCCGAGGTCGGCGGACAAGATTCTAGGACACCGGACCTCCCGGACTCTGGCATCTGCCAGGTGCTGAAGAGGTGGCCCGAATTCCGACCTCTCCACGTGCACTCAAGACGAGTCTTCCGTCACGGTCTGACGCTGCCGGAGACCCAGCGTAGATTACGCGGAGGTTTTGGGCGGAGCTATGAGCCGAGCCTCCGAGAGTCGAGGTTGCAGCGAGGTGAGCTGCTGGGGCCGGTGGGGCCGACCTGCTTGGGGACTCTTGGGGAAACAGGGCCCTGGTTGGGGCAGCTCTGCCAGGACACTCCCGATGGAACCTTCTGAGCCCAGCGATCGAGAAAAGCGGCAGGGGCTTCTGGAAGATTTTGCGATGAGTGGGAGCTTTGATTTTTTGATCCGACAGCGCCTCATCCTGCGCTCGCCGCCTGCTCCTCTGTTCGGCCGTGACCAGGGAAGGGTAGGGTAAGTGTTTGTGTTGCAAATGCTTCCGTGTTCACTGGTGTTAAGCTGTTCCGTTCCCTCAGACATCACGACGAGGTGCACAGACGCGTGCATGATCAATTTTACCATTGTCATAAAACAAGCTTCAGAATTTCGCCCGCCAGGGCAGCATCCTCGTCATGTGCTGCACTTGTCCCGGCAGTGGCCGTGAACCTTGCGAGCCACGCTCAAGCAAGCCCTGACATGCACACGTTCTGGGGCTTCGGGTTCTCCAGCGAGGACTCGACTGTGGAGGCACCACCAGAGCCAGTTGCCAAGCGCTATGAAACAGCACCTACGGCCTCCTCGTCTCTCGGGCTCGGGCCCCCACAAAAGAGCCGAAGCTGGGCCAGTAGCGTCCTTGAAAGCTTCCGCATGGACACCAGGTTCGAGAGCCGAGCGACGAAATCGCCAGGTGAGGAGGATCTCGAGAGTTCCAGCCTCGAGCCCTTTCGCAGCCTCACGCGCCGGGCACATCAACTCCTCGCCCGCCAGCACCATCGAGCGCTGGTGAGCAGGAGGAGGGCAGCTCATGAGAATTCATACGCCACAGAGCGGCTGATCTTAGCCGAGGCAGAGGCTGATGAATTGGAGGAAGTCCTAAAGCAGCACAGTCGAGCTTTAGGAGCTGGGGAGGAGCACGGCAGTCCCTCCGACATGTGTGACGCCGAACGGCTCACTATGTCCGGTTGGTCAACTTCTGCGGCATCATCTGCAACGAAGCCCACGGAGTTGCTTTGCAGATGGGAGTCCGAAGATACGGAGGCACGGCAAGAGCTGGAGTCCCTTCAGACGGTGATGTCGCAGACAGCTGCCGAGCTTCGCTCTGGCTTGCTGCACCTGCCTTCGCCAGATTGCGATTTCGCATCTCATGGCAATGCAGGCCTATGCCGAGTTTTGTCGGCCGCCCTCCCCCAGCTCGTGCAAAGTTGCGCCGATGCCATGGAAGTGGGCAGCAGCGAAGATGACTGGGCAGGAGCCGAAGCCAGCCTCTTCGAAGCCCTGGTGCAAGTGACGTCCTGCGCGTGTGAGTCGCCCTCGGACCTGGACTTCCAGCTCCAAGAAGATGCCTTCGCGCATGGGGCCCATGGCACCCATGTGAGCGCCAGCCCCGAGGAGCAGCGCGACCAAGCGGCCCTGCAAAAGCTGCTCGGGAGGCTGGATGCGCTGAGCCAGCAACTTGAGCAGGAAGCTCCCAAACAGAGCAGCCAGAACGCTTCTTCGGTCCCGGACACCGGAAACACCACGAACGCAGCGTCGAACAGTTTCGGTGCCTCCGCGACTCGCCTGGCGGACCTCGAGGCCCAGGTGCAGCGCCTCGTGGCCGAGAACCAGGCGCGCCGCGTGCCGCGCGCCCTGCTGGGAGCTCTCCTTGTCTTGCTTGTATCATCTTGCATCTTGGAACAGGCTCTGGAGGAGCAGCTGTCAGGGCGCTTCTCAGAACCGCCTCCGAGTAAGGCCTTCCAAGCTGTGGATCGCATGGAGCTGCCATCCGGGGTAGCCCTGCCACGCGACGCAGGCCTTTGGCATCCTTTAGTCTCAAGTCCGTACAGCTGTAGCACTGCTGTAGCAGATCGCTGTAGGTCGGAGGTTGTCCCCAGCAGCTGCTTGGCACATACTTCAGAGATCTTCAGAGCCTCAGCAACCTCAGATAGCCTCAGCCTGAAACCTGCCGAGGAGCGAGTGGCCTTGAGCAACAACGTCCGGCAGCGAGGCGCTTCCCAGCCCCAGCCCTCCCATCTGAGATTAGGATGAGCTTGTCTGCCTGGCAGGCAGCAGGCAGAACTGCGCCGCGTGCACGCCTCAAAATAGTCCGAGCTGGCGACTTTCGCCGGCGTTTTTCTCCTTTCCGTCCAGGCCAGCTGCAGCGAGGCCAAGGCAAAGCTCCGAGCCAACGAGGTGCCACCAGCTAGAGAGATAGGCATCAAACAAAAATCAATTGGGGAGAACGAAGCAAATAGGGAGCACAAAGAAAACAGACAGGAGTCAACAAAAACTCAAAATTCTGAAATGCTGTCAATCCAGTATTTGCAGCTCGTAGACACTCACAAACTGGTCTTCTCTGTCAAAGAAAAGAAGGAAGGGAGGAGGAGTGCGCGTGTTCAAGATACGGGATGATTGGGGCGTGTTTAAGATAGGTGATGAACAGGAATCGCCAAATGAGGGGTATACGGTATACGAGGATGAACCGGAATCGCCAAGAGGGGCTTGTTTAGTTCAAGATATATTTTGAACCGGATTCACCATGCGACCCCAAGCAGTCGGCCCCCTGGCACCGCGTTTCCCTGTTTGTTTTTTGAGCCCTGTTTGATTTTGTTTTGATCCGCAAATGGGTCATCTTGAGTATGCCGTCCAGGAGATATGTTATATTTTTATTTAATTTTCTTCATTGCGACTTGTTTTTGACCCAGACATTTGATTTTTTTGGTGTTTGATCCCTCAGCCCTTCGAGCTCTCTTGCTGTGCCTGCTGTGTCGCCTACTGGACAGGCAGATGATCCACGATCTGCGCTCGGAGCTGGCGGACGCCTATGAGGCACATGTAGACTGACGGGTGACAGTCAACAGTATCGCTTTATACCTGATCCTATCAGCTTCTTGTAACAAACTTCGCTACCGTAGCTGATCTTTTTTCAGAGCTGAGGCCTTGGCGTTGGCTCGGTCCCTGTCTTAGCTTGCAGCCGGTAGGCTGAAATGTCGCGTGCAGCAAGCCGCCAACAACCTTTGAGGTCTTCCGCCTGGCCCGGGGTTTCAGCAGGCCGCACGCCGGAAAACCGCAGACTGACAGTGAAGTCTTCGCTTCTCTGCGGGAAGGCCGACCGGCCCAAGACACTGAGCCCGAGGCACGGTGCATCACCGCACGTCCTCATGACTCTTCATACCCTAAGCCCTAAAACCCACTCGCACTCCCTCTCTCTCTAGCTTCGTGCCTGGCCGGGTGCCTTTGCATGGCTCAGCTCTTGGCTCGAGTATGTTACAAGCCGTCCAAACGCCCCCTTCTGCCCGGCCGAGGCCAAGGCAGGATCTCAGGATCTTGATGTTCTCCGAGAGAGGAGTCGAAGGCTCCAAGGCGCAAGTCGCAAGCCTTGCCCAGGATCCCTTTGAATGGCACGGCAAGGCCGGCAAGGTGCTCAGTGCAGCTTCGGCGCAGCGGTGAAGCAGGCCAGGTCCCTTGGACCTTTGGGTCAAGACACGGAGAGAGTTTGTGCAAATTTGAGGCACCATAGCTGCGGCTGCAGCCGCAGTAGTTCCATTTCTTCCAGAACGTGGGAGAGGAGCGATGCAGGTGATACAGTTGTACAACTGCTGGCCTAGCTTGACATTGAGCGAGGGTTTAGGTGGCGGTGCTCTTGCAGGAGGCAGGAGGCCTTTCCGGCCCATGAGAGCAGCGAGATCAGACCTTGAGGCCGAGGTTACAGCTGCAGTGGAGGCAGCGCTGGCCCTTGAGTGCACAGTTGTGAGAGGATCAGTTGCAGCTGTCGCTCCATGGACATGTACGACGTATGTGACAACTGCGCATGATACCTGTAGGTTGTCCAGCGCTCGATGCGGTGCTTCTCCTGCATGTAGAGGATGCCACATCATTTTAGTGTTTTTGTCTGAATTCTTTCCGAGGCTTGTGCAGGCCCTGGCTTGTGACATGGATGCCTCTCTGCTGCATCTTCCGAGGCTCACAAGGCCCCTCCGCCCCGTCCGAACGCATGATCTAAAGCTTTGCTGCTCGCGTGACGGACTTGTGTGGAGCCTTGCCTGCTGCGTGCGAGTGTGAGAGTCGAAAAAAGAGGGTTTGCAACCTGTCCGTAAGGGCACCAAAGGGAAGTTGGGCGAAGTGTCGCCCAATAAATTCTTGAGGTTGCTCCGCCTTCGTTGGGGAAAGAAATGGAAGCTTGCGACATTACGGCCGGCATTTCCGCCATCAAGCCAGGCGCCCTCCAGAGTTAAAGGTGACAATGCGAAAGGCAAGAAGATTCAAAAAGCGGGATGATGGTAGTTACTGGTAGTTGGGCAGGTGACTCGACACCTGTCACAGCGGCAGACTACGCCATTCAAGGTCTTGTCTTTGAAAGTCTGCAGAAACAGCCGCTTGCTTCTGTTGCTCGTGCTTGGTGGTCACTGTCGGGTTGAGTAGCCTCTTCCCGAGCATGCTGATATTGCTGAGGTTCCCTTCAGATAGGTTCATGGGGGAGGAGGATGCTGCGGATCTGCGTGCTGATGCAGATCTTTGCGGGCTGGCACTAGATGCTTGACAGGGCGCTCGCATGTGATAACAGTTGTAATTTAACAGGTTGCTACGAAGTTTGTCATGGGATGACACAGCTGCTCTCAGCCGAGGCGCTATGCTCAAAATTCGGCTTCCTGGCGTTCAACATGGCCGGATACGGCCCGAACGTTGCAAAGACCCGACTGTGTCGTTGCCCGAGGTGACAGCAGCATCACGAAAGAGTCCTTCTTAGCTGCAGTTGATGTGGGGCTGGTGCCGCCTCGAGAGGGCGAGAACCGTCGAGTCTGGGTGAGCTCGGCTTTTTGTGGCAGAGGGCACAGTTGGAGGTGAGTTTGTTCTTGCCAGGTTCTCGACCCGATCGATGGCACCAAGGGCTTCTTGACGGGCCAGGGTTACGTGATCGGCTTGTCCTTGCTGATGGATGGCGAAGCCCTCGTCGGGGTCATGGGCTGCTTGATAGACAGCTGACAAAGAACGGGGCTCCTACTTTTCGGAAGGTCTTGTTTGCTTTCGGAAAGCGCTTTGGGAAGCTCTCAGATTCTACTCAAAAGTGTTGGTGTGGATCACGAATGTCGTCAGTTCGGGTTGGCTCCGAATTCAGGTGCACATCGCCACAGGCTCTGAAGGTTCCAGGACGTTGAGAGCAGGAGGGCCTTTGGGGCCAAAGGAGTTCAGGAATTTCGGACTCCGGACTTCTGGATCCTGCTGAGTGGGGCATTGGGTGCCTCGTGCTTCCCAGCCTAGGCTATCCCAATGCACCTCGGCAGATGTGTGGGGATTGGATGTGAAACTGGGTTCGGAGGTGGACCACTGTCTTCCAAGTCGTACAGCAGAGTTCAGCAACAAGATAGCTGGAAGAAGTTGCCCTGCTCAGGCTACCGCGACTCCGCCCATCATGCTTGCTGTGCTTCACAGGCATTGTATGTTCAGTGCACTTGTAGGTCAACTCTCGTTGAAGATGGTTGGCTCAGGTGAAAGGCCATGGGCTTCGCTGGTGGCCTGCAGAGGGCCCAGGCCCGCTGGAGTACGAGCCTCCAAAGCCAGACTGGGCCAGTCAAGGCGCAATTCGGCAACGAAACAATGCTGCCTGCCAAAGAAGTGCACAAACGCGGCAAATCTGTGCCTGTCAGACTTCGGACAACTGCCACCGCCTTTGCCGGGGCCGCTGCAAGTAGGCTTGGCCGGGCGGAGCGACATAGCACAGACCGTTGGAGGTATGCACTCTTTCCCTAGCGCTCGCACGATAATCCAGGCCGTGACTACCCTCCTTGGCTCCTGTCTCCGCAGAGCACCCGGACTGCCTGCAGGCCAGCATGTGTCGTTGGGTGCAGCAGCACCGCAACTCTACTTGCCTGCAGGCCGTTTGGCGATGCCCCAGCCACAGATATGCATCTTGGCTTGAGCTGGCTGCAATTTTCTAGGAACCTGAGTAAGAACCAACGGTCCTTATCAGGATTCCTTGTATTCATATGGATCAATTGATGTTGGGGATATATAATAGTCAGGGTTTGTTCACCTGCGAGGTGCTGCGGCTCCATGGTGAAATACTTCGCGGTGGCTGCTGGAACCCATTGCGGGTATGTGGCTTGCAAGCAACCCGCGGCTGGTTCAGAGTCGCCTGGGAGGTGGAAGCATCGTTCCTCCTGGAGCTAAGGTGCAGTATGAGGAGCAGTTGAAGACGTGGGACCATGCTTGTTCCTTGGATAGTCGTCTCCAGTTTGGGCTCGGAAGGTGGACATGTGAGCTCTCCGTGACTTCAGGTGGCATTCTCTGTGTCCAGGAGTCTGGTGGGACCGCGTGTGTCACCGATGCTGCTGGACAGCCGGCCCCGAGCTCGGTGCATACTTTATCCGCTTGTTTACTTACCTTCATTGGCTGTATTCATAGTCATGTAAGACATGCAAACATACGTACGTACGCAGGTACTTACATACATACGTAGATAGGTCGGTCGGTCAGTAAGTACCAGGGTAGGTACATGTACACGTTTACATATGTATGCATATATATTTGCGCGGTATGTGTATGTGTGCACATGCGATTCTGCCTTGCTATCTTGAACTTCTGAATGGGAAGTTCGATGTCACTCGAATTGCTTGGCTCGAAAGCAGCCTCTGTTGTCTAGTTTGCGACCCTCATCTACGTAGGTAGGTAGGTAGGTAGGTAGGTAGGTAGGTAGGTAGGTGGGTAGGTAGGTAGGTAGGTAGGTAGGTAGGTAGGTAGGTGGGTAGGTGGGCATCCATGTATGTACGTATGTACCTATGTAACAATGTAAGTATGTATGTATTTATTTATGTATGTATGTATGTATGTATGTATGTACGTACTTATGTATGTATGTATGTATGTATGTATGTATGTATGTATGTATGTATGTATGTTATCTGAGCAACCTCCGTTCTGCAACCCGCAGTCTGGATTCGTCGGAGTGTGGGCATCAAGCAGTTTGCAGACCTGCATGCTGTCGAAGGAGAGGTGCCGATCACTGTGTCTATGAACCGCAAGTAAAGTACCCATTCACCGGCTGCAGCTCTGCAGCTCTCGTCCTGCAATGTGCAGATGCTGTGCGGACGCACAAGCTTCTGTACATGAGCTTCAGGCATGCATACGTGCAAATGAGCAAACACAGAGTTCGTACGTACTCACGCACGCATACAGCCGTATACATACGTATATACATACGTATATATATATATACATACATAGACACACACACACACAGACACGCAGACCTGCAATTCAATCTAGATGTTCGGAATGCCGCACTTCAAGTCGCAGTCTTGCTGCAAGTGTTCGGAAAATTGTTTCAAGGTATTGTTCCCTGGCCGACGCTCCTCTAAACGTATTCAGAGTCTCTTGTCTGCAGCACAGCCACAATGTCCCAAAGAGCCAGATTCAGGCAAGTTTTTCGTGCTCGGTGGCATCGTTTCGTGCTCGCGCTGGTGCACTTCGGAAATGCGAGAGCTACTGCTCCAGGCCAGGGCAGAGTTCACCTCGGTGGACCGGGCTCGGGAACATATGGAAAATAGCATCACCGAGCGAATTTTCAACAGGTGCTGAATGAGAGTCGACGCGAGAAAACGCAAAAAATGCGGTATTGAGGAGGACTGGCAAAGAAGAACGGCAGTCGAACAGATCATCCATGCGAACTGACGCACCGAGAAGAACAGCAGTGTCGATCTTGAGCAATCTCTTGTGCTGCCATGTGTCGTTCCTGTCCTGAGTCGCACTTGCGCCCAAGCCAGTGTCCCTTGCAATTTTCTTGTTGTCCCGGGGATGTTGCCTGCCCTTCCCAGTCTGCTCTCAAAACATCCAAGAAGCCACTCGGGTACCACAGGCTCCATAGGACCGGATCTCGCAGTCTTCGGCAGCTACTCATAGTGCAGTGGGAAGAAATCTGGGCATACTTTGGCTGCTCTTTGAAAGCCAGGCTGCCGCTGGAAATGCATCCGAGGGGAAGTAGCCGGATTCCAGAAGGGCCAAAGATGCCCTTCCTGGGCATTAAGATGTTTCGTAGCTTGCAGGGCGCCCCAAAGCCTGGGTCGATTGCCGAAGCGGAAAATTCAGAGCCTGCAAGTATCGCAAAGCTCCGGAACAGCTCCCCAAAAGCAGGTGCCGGACGTTGCCGCCTTCGTGTTTCGCAGTCCCCCGTTAGAGGCCCAATGTGTTTGGCGAGGCAGCCTGTGCATAACATGCAGTGGCTGCTTCAGGATGTGTTGGAAGGGAGGTTGCCACAGTGTGAAGAACACACCTTGTGCGGAGTAGACCACTGGCTCGCCACGAAGCCGAAGCCGTCCCTGCCTGCGTGCCGAGGTGACATGGTGGGATAGCTGAGCATTCCTCAATGATTCTCGTTCTTGCACCGTGTTTCTCACGAGCACTCCAAAAGAAGAGCTGCCAATGTTGCAAGCGGCGCACGATCGCTGAACACACCGAGTCTTGGTGGGATTGCATAGTATTGCATAGGACGCCGAGACGAGGCTGGTTCATTTCAACACCCTCAGTCGGGCCGACAAAATGCAGCTCGGTTGTCCACTTGTCATGTCGCCTAGTGGATGCAGCTTACGTGACTGCTCAACCTGACTGGAGCTCAAATGGCCAACTGCAGCATGCAGAAGCATCATACACCATGCACCATGTGCTGAGATCCACAGACCTTTCACTCGTTTTCACAGGGAGATTCCGTTTCAGTGTGCAGTATTGCAGCCAAGAAGGACCAGATCTTGCAGCCCCGGAGTAGGCCAGAGTAATGGCGGTGGCAGCAGACGATCGAATGACCGATGACACTTCAAGGAGTCCGGTGCTGTGGACAGAGGGCCCCCCCCCTCCGCAGAGGGTTTTGGAGGGTCCTTTCCTCACTTGCCTGGGAGGACGGTTGTCCAGCGGCTCAAGAGCCTGTACATGGACTTGCTGAGGCGCACGAAAGCGAAACTAAAGCCTTTGAAAGGGTACGAAAGGGCAGTTGTGGGGAAAGCCCGCTGGGGTGCGGATCTTTGCTGAGGCCCATCGAAGTCGACAGCTTCTTCCTGTATTTCAACAGCGAGTCGACCTTGACGGTCTCAGAGCTCGAGGCACGACCACAAGTCTTGCTGATCGGCCAGCTCCTTGCGCTGCATGTCCTGTGATCTGCACTGGTGCTTCCTGCCGGATGCAGCCCTCGGCATGGGGGGATTGAGGTATAGCACCGGCAAGACGTCGCTCATTAAGTGGGTCACGGGCATCGAGAGCCCCTTCTTTGACATCCGGCCCCAGCCTAGCACGGACAAGTTCATGGCCGTCGTACACGGAGACGAGGAGAGAGCAGAGAGCAACGCCCTGAGCTCACCTCTTCGTTTGATTCGCTTGTGTGGAAGGAGAAGGTGATCAATGGAGACGCCGCCTCTCGCTTGCACTGCCTAGCGACATGGAAGCGACGTCGCTTGAGCCGACATGCGGCTACTCGGCAGGCGACCTGCTTACCGGATCTGCCCTACAGTGGTCTTTCCCGGTTCGGCTCCTCCTTCCTTGGAAAGTGGCCGGGCTGAGACAGACACCTAGTGGGCTCACAAACCCATGAGAAGAATAGCCGGCAAGAGTGGGACGGAAAAGGGGTTTCCTATGGGTTTCTGAGCCCGAGAGAAGAACAGGAACAAACAACACGAGAGGTAGGGGCAAAGCCGGCCGTGACATCGCCGAAAGCAGAGCATCTGCACAGCCGGGCTTCCCACGAACTGTCCTGCCCCTGGTAGAGCACATTGTGGGATTAAGGTTCCAGGTTTTGGTGGAGAGCGCGGACATCCTGAAGCAGGCCTGGAGCATCACAGACATTGTCGTAGCTCACAGTTCAACTTGCAGATCTGTGCAGATTACCTTCATCGACACCCCTGGAGTCCTGTCTGGCGACAAGCAGCGCATCAGCCGTGGTTATGACTTTATGAAAGTCTGCCGGTGGCTGGCTGCGCGGTCTGATCTAATCCTGCTGCTGTTTGATGCCCATAAGCTCGACATCTCCGATGAGTTCAAGGAGGTTATCGAGTCCATCAGGAGCGATGGCGACAAGTGCCGGTGTGTTCTAAACAAGGCGGATGAAATCGATGGTGAGAACCTGGTCAAGGTGTACGGTGCTTTGATGTGGAATCTCGGCAAGATTCTCCAGACCCCGGAGGTTGCGCGTATGTACGTGGGATCCTTCTGGGACGAGGAGTACAAGTGCAAGGATCTGGAGCGGCTCCTGAACCAGGACTGCTAGAATTGCTAGAACGCAAACACCACATACCGCACTAAAGTGTCACGAAGTTCTCCGTTCGGGTGATGGGGGAGATTTGTCGGGTCGATCTGCAGGACCGGAAGGACCTGTTGCAAGAGTTGCGTGATTTGCCACGGAATGTATGCGTTCGGCGAGTTAATGAGATTGTGGCACGGGCGAGAGCTGTCAAAGTCCACCTCGCCCTGTGCAGCCTGGCCTGTCGAGATTTTTTCTGGAGTCTCGGATGGTGAGATGCACGTTAAGTTTCCCGTGCCGCCAAGGCTGTGCCCTGCGTGCTCGTCTTCCTGCCTTTGGCTTCTGCGGTAGAAGACACCGGCATCAGCTGTGGCTGTCGGAGCATCTCCCCGAAGTCTATGCCGAGGTGATGACACTTGTCGCAGAGATGTTGCCAGTCAGTGTGTAGATGCAGGGTAGATGTCAATGGAGATCGAACGTTGGAGTATCTGCCTTGCAACCTTGCGCATGGAGCAGCGAGCCATAGCGAGCGATCAGGAAGGACTATGAGCTGCTCGGATTCCCCAGTATTCTTCCGCTGCCCGGGTCTCGGATCCTAAGCCTCGAGGCAGGCTTGTTGCAAGGTTCGCCCCGGGCGACATGCCGCACGTGGAGTACTTCGGTCAGCGCCTGCGTGCCTTCAAAGACTTCAGGGCCTTTCAGAGGCCTGGACTCCAAGTCCGACAAAAAGATTTCAGACATTCGTGGCTTTCTGGCAGGTCCTGCAAGGCACAGCAGGAGACGCTGGACCGGCTGATCGCCACGGAGATCCCGCGCCTCATGGCCATGGTCGGAGGCATCTCGGCCTCGGAGCTGGGCCAGAAGGCGCCGGCAGAGAGTCCCGGAGAGCAGAGTCCCGGTCTCCTTGAAATGTGTGGAGCCTGGAGGTCAACGGGAAGTCCAGTGCTTTCACGTGGAACAGCTCCGTGACGAGACCGTCCTCTGGCCCGAGCCTCTTAGAACCATATGAAAGCAGATCGAGCGGAGCCTGTGTGAGGTGACAGCGGCGGCTCGGGCTGTCTCTGCCTGTGCCTGCTGCTCTTCCTTTCCCTTGCTCCCAGCCTGAAGCGATGAGACATCTCTGTGGGAAGATCTTCAGCGCAGATTCTGTGCACTGTACATGTTCTGCTTCGCAGCTGAGGCTCTCTTCCCGCTGGCGGCCGTACTTTTCGTTGGGCAAGCCGAGGCAGGGATACGGATAGGGGCGGCCGGAGATGATGTTACGACTTTCCTGCAGCATCCTGCAACGATTCCCGTTGTCTTGCATCCATGCTGTCGCAGCCTTTCTGGTAGAAATGTTCTTATTTCGCCTTCGAACCAGTGGGAGGCACTTGCTGCATTGGATCAGCTTGTGGATCTGGCTGCGAACTTCAGCGGGAATTGGACGGGAAACCTGACGGCGCTGCCGTGGACAAAGCAGCTCCTTCGCGAACCCCGGTGGCATCACATTGACCCACTCCACCCTTGGTGTTTTTTCCGGTGCTGCCTCATGTATCCTCCCGTGATGATGCTGCGTAGAGATGAGAGCTTCTGGTGCACGCACCTGCGAGGACTTCACCGGAGAAGAACTCTGATTCGGAAGTGGCAAGGAGTGAGCCTAGCTCAGATGCTCAAGGCTCCTGCGTGCACGCCGCCAGCGCCAAACCACAGGCTGCCCCCCAGTATGCGTTGACCAGAGAGTAGGATGAAGGCATGGACGTGAAGCAGGTTGAGGTTTATTGTTCAGGGCCCCGTGGCGAAGGCCGGTGCAAAGCATTGACGGCAACACGTTTGGTGTTGCTTTCGGCAGCTCGCGTGCGAACGCCTGCGTAGCTAATGTGGGTCAGAGTCAGAGGGCTGTAAACTTGCGGCCTGCTCGCTGGGAACGAAAAAAGCTTTACCAATTGAGAAAGATCCTGGCACCGTTGGACCGTTCTACCATGCCCATGTCGCACTCCGGTACAGGAGCTGGGAGTTCGGTTGCTCCGCCAGGACGAATGTGTACTGTTCCGAAAGAGTTGTGGCATGCACGGAAGCATGTCGCTGCGCTGTCTGGCTCATAGGCAGCACGGGAACACCAGTGAGCACCCTCTGCCTTGGGCCGAACGCTGTCTACCATGCATCAAACATGATCGGGACTGGCTGTCTGCTCACGAACTTACCAGATGAAGCATCAGAACTCTTCCCCAGATCTGCTGGAGCCTTCTGCAGCCACTCTAGCATGGCTGCTTCTACAACTCATGGGGTGGAAGACTTGATCACTGCCAATACAGCTTTATAACATGCCGCTTGTGCTTCTCCTCAGCTTTGTTTCCGAGGTTCTTTCCCTGGCCCCTCTGCCGCTGTGCGACTAACGACAGAATTGTGGGCACAGGCAGGAGCACCATTTGGCCTCAAGCAACGCATTCGTGTTCCGATCACTACTTCCCTTACGCGTATACGGAGTCGGCCCCACCCAACGAGGTTACGCCATCCATGGAAACCAAGTTGCTTAGTAGCCTGGCGATTTCCGTGTGTTGAGCCTCCTTCATGACTCGTCGTGATTTGTTGACATGTTCTGGATGTTGTTTGTTGAGTACACCGGGTCAGCCTCCACATGTCTCCCAGGGGCCTGTGCAAGCCAAAGCTTAGGCAAGAAAGGGGTCCTCGACCACTATAGACTGGGTTGACCTCGCATCATGCAGTAAAAGCAGCACTGCTAACCACTACAGAATTTGCGATATGAGGATTTGTTTTGCAAGCGATTTTGCTTCAAGCGTTCGACTTCCCAGTTGTCACGGCCCAGTTTTTTCCGATTGCAATTGGCTCTCATCATGGCTGCGCCGTACTTGGAGGAGCCCCTGTACGCGTTTTGGAAGAACGAGGGCGCCGGCGAAGATACTGCCGAGACTCCCGGCATGCGCGTGGACGTCGAGAGGTATCGCATGAGGTACCGCTCCTACCGGCTTGGCTATGCCCATGCAGAAAAGGGACAGGTCGCCGACGTTCTGGACGAGAAGTACACTCTAGAGCCCAAGCACAAGATCTCGACCGATATCGACAAGTCGCTGCCAATCGACGAGCCGCTCTTCCACCACCTGAGCGACACCAAACGGTCTGAGATCAACAGGTACCGCGAGGATTACCGCAAGTATCGCCTCGGCTATGCTTCTGGAGCAAAGGGCGAAGTCGCCGACCTCTTCAAAAGGCAAATCTCTCAGAGGGAAGGTGGCTATCAGCAAGTGCAGCAGATGTGCAAGGAGAAGCTGTCTCAGGCCGATGACGACGGCGAGCTTCTGCGCACTCTGAGCGCGCCCGCCGTGCCGAGCTGGCGTCCGACCTCGCTGAAAGGCTTGACTTCCACGTTCTCAGGCATTTTCGCCGATGCTTGCGAGGAGTCCAATGTGGCCACGAAGTCCATGTTCCACACACTGCCACAGTCGGTGCTGCCGGACCCAACGGCCTCCTATATCCAGGTTCCGATGGCTGAAGATGGCTCCTTGCAGCTGGATGCTAGCTTCCTTCTCGCCAAAACGCCGCTGCCCAAAGCAGCGGCCGAGTTCTCCTCCATCCATGTCATCCAGACATCATCCGTCGCCGCCAGGATCGCAGCCGCTCAAGTGAAGAACTCGGCAGCGAAGATCGGGAAGCCCTGCGTTGTGCATGACTGGCCGGCAATCACAGATGATGCCAAAGCGGAATACGACGCTCTCTACAACGTGGCCAGCGACCTCATTCTCCAGGGCGCGAACAGGGCGACTCTTCTCGTCTTTGTCGGGGCAGGGGAGCCTGGGGAGATGGCGCTGGCGGTGATCTTGGCCATGTTGCCCTTCCGTGGCATCCAGCTGGCATACGTCACGCCCGCAGAGGACTATGAGAACCCGCTGCAGACACTCCGGTCTCCTTCCGGAGTCTTCGAGTACACTGCGACCCAGCCGGAAAGAATGGGGAGAGTGTCACTTGCAGCTATCTTCGGTCCGCTGGAGCCGCGAACCTTCAAGGAGCCCCTCTCGACGTGGTCGCCTCTCCGCCCAGAGAAGCGTCCCGAGGAGCAGCCGGCGCCATTCAAGATCGGTGGACTGGATCTCCCCATGGTCACCTTTGAGGGTGCCTATGGCAAGGGTATCGATCGCCTGGCAAGCCTCCTTGTTGGTCACTACGGCAGCGAGATCTACCCGGTGGTTTCTGTTGGAGAAACAGGTGATTCTCTCGGTTACGGCGACGACTTACTCGGTGCTCTTGCTGAGCTGGACTGCCCCGGCTTCTACTTCCCGCACGCGTCGGGCGAGACCTGCAAGAGCCCCGAGGCTTACGGCAAGGTGGAACTTCTTAAGGCCATCGGTACTGCGAAGCAGAGCAACAAGAAAGTAGTGGTGATTGCTGTGGGAGGTGGTGTGAATGGCAATGCCACTGGGATGATTGCTGCGATGACTGGTTCGGTCTTCGTTGAGGTTCCAACGACGCTGATGCACTACAACGATGCAACGACATCTGCAAAGAAGGCCTTCAGCTTGGTCGTGAACGGACAGATCCTGTCCAAGAACATCTTGGGCACCTTCTACCTCCCACAGCTAGTCTTTTGCATCAGTGAGACCTTCCTGACCCTGTCTAAATGCAGCGTGCATGCTGCCGTGGGTGAGGCCTGCAAGACGATGGGAATGCTCGGCATCGCCAACTCGCAGACGGGCCAAGAGGACTGGAACAACATCTTGGGCGGCGTGGAGTTCGCCAGCGACTTCACAAAGATCATTGAGACCGTAGCAGGCTTTGAGAAGCTCATTCACTTCCTTCAGAGCACACGGGAGTTGAAGGCGAAGGCTTTGGCCCTGGGAGAGGAGCTGAGTGCCATGCGAATGGAGCGGGCCTCGTATGGGCAGATGGCCAATGTCGCGAAGCACCGAGAAAAGCGCCTGAGCGAGCTGCGCCGGTTCTTCCACGGTGAGCTTTCATCAGAGGCCCGTGCAGAGGTCATCAAGTTCCTCACTGTCATCAACACAGAGATCATTGCAGCGAAGGCCATGTTCTTGGCATATTCCGATCCCTTTGAGAAGTACCGGGCGTTGCTGTTTGAGTACGCTCACACTCTGGGCCATGGAGTGGAGGCCTTCATGAACGGCCTCTACCGACGAGCAACGGCTTGCGGCATTGATTACTCGGAAGCTTTCCGGTTGCATGGCCAGTGTGTTGGCATGGCGGTCTTGTGGGCTGGTGAGATGTCGAAGCAGCAGGGGCTTCTGGACGGGGATGGCTTCCTCGCACACCAGGGGCTGCTTTATACCTTCAACCGCTTCGGAGGTTACGACTTCGCTCCTTTGCGGCGGCTATGCGATCAGCTGGAGGTGTCCAAGGAAGAGTTCTGCGAAGGAGTCCTCCAGGTTGTGAGGCGAGACAACAAGCGCGGCTACTGCAAGTGCAGCGCAGACAGCAGCGTGGACCAGCTTGTGCGACAACGCCCTGGCTGCCTGCTTCGAAGCTCGGACCCCGATGCCGAGCTCAGATACCTCGTAGAGGTCACGGAGGACTCTCAGCGCGAAGTCCTCGAAAGGGCCTTCGATTGTGAGTTCGACAAGGTGGCCGTGCTCAAAGGCGACCAGCTTCACCTCGTCAAGAGATCAGAGGGAAGCCTCCAAGTGGACCAGACGAAGACCGCCTCTGCATTGCGGGGGCTCATCGCCAGCCTCTACGGGGAAGAGGGCTCACCCGAGACTCTTGCTCCGCCTGCTCCTGTAAGGACCTGAGACACACCGACCGAATTCTTCTTCGTGCAGTTCTGAGAAGCTGCGAGAGATGCAGAGGCTGTCGCGCTGGATCCTCTGTACCCGACCAAAGCCTAGAATCCAATCCTTACGCCTTACAGTCCTCCAAACAGTCGCAGATACAGCGCTGAAAGCTTTTCCTTGAGCCCCTTTGCATCCTGCGGCCTGAATTCGGTGCAATCCAAGGCTGTCTTGGCACGATCTGTGCTACCAGCCGACCCTAATCTTCATGCCATAGGCATCTGTCGGGCTCCACAACGACCTGCACACTCCGGAAAGGACCTCCGACTAGAAATGCACAGATCGACCAACCCGGGAGCTGAGCAAGACTTGGTCGTAACAGCAGCCATTCTTGCACAGCTGGCTCAGCTCCTTTAAGGTGACAATCCCTGCTTGTACAGATTTCGACAGACTTCAAAAGACTTCAAAGACCGATTGCACATGGAGTCGAAAACAGCTTGTGTGCTTCGCAAAGGAAGGGCCTTATCTGGATACTTCGTTTGCCTAGAGCACCCGAGAGTCCATTGCAACAAGTAGCCGTTCATCGCGACGAGGTTTCTTGTATTTGTGTGAAAGGCCCCAGCAAAACTCTATCCTCGGCCAGCAACATGGAATGCCGTAGTTTCTTTTGATAAGCAGGCAGGTCGGGTGATAGTGTGCATGTGCCTGTGCCTTTTATCGACCCAAGCTCTTAGCTCGACCAAAGACAATTTGAGATTGTCTGCGTTGGAGGAGATACTGCTTGTAAATATCCCGGATGGGAACAGTGATGAACAATGAGTCTTGGACGCGGGTATGGCTTTGAGTGCAACATGCTGATGCTAGTCAGAGAGGGTTGCAATCATCACCCCCTTTGAACATGTTTTTCCTTCTGGATAGCTAATGAAGGGCTAAAATCAGGAACACATACTGGCATAAGAAATCGTGTCAAGGCTTTCGGAAAGCGCCTCACGCCCGCCCTTCCGTGCGACGTCCCTTTGTAGATGCACCAGCCGCAGTGGCTAATTCATTGGCAATTGAATTCATGCAGCTGCAATGCGGGGCCGTCGGCCAGAGATCACACACATGACAGATGCGCAGGCCTTGATGTTTGATTTCGATGATCTGGAGAGAGTGCTCTCTGAAGACGAGGTGCGACCTGGTTCTTTGCGCTTGTCTGTCGGATGGACATGACAGAGAGCGGAGTGCCGACTGTTCCTTGTCTGTCCCTTCACAGGGCTGCATGTGGTTTTGAGGTCGAACCGTATGAACTGTGCATCTCCACGAGTGTGTGCGTGTGTGTGTGTGTGTGTCTCTGCCAAAGAGCCGACCTCAAGGCATGCCGAATCTCCCAATCGCGCCATTTTCAGTTTACCTGGGCCACCCAGCACTCATTCTCTGTTGCTTGCAGGGTGACGGTCAAATCTTTGTCTGTGAGGGAACCACCCCAACTAGTGTAACTAGTGCACAGGCACAGGCTAAGGTTCCGAGTTCGTGTCTGTCCGTGTGTGTGTGTGTGTGTTCAGTGGGCTCCGCCTGTCAAAGTAGCGTGACAACGGTGCAAGTCGGTGGGCCCGCCACGAAGGGGAGCCATGCTTCGGACGCGGAGGGTCTGGCACAGCCCAGACCGAGACAGCCCGTTCATGAGCATGGTCACGCAGCCTGGCTACTGACTATTCTTGTGCTTCCATCTTTTTCAAGCGTGCCACGTGGTTCACATGTTGAGGTGCGGATCTGGGCAATATCCGATCTCCATACAGACGATCCCAAGAATAAGGCTAGGAAGAGGGACTGCTGAGCTTTACTGCCACGGCAGGCATCGCTGTATGTGCCACCACCTTGGCGAAAGGAGTGGCTCGAACACATTGACACCAAAGACACAGCCAACGATGTCATCATAGCAGCATGATCTGCAAGTGGTGCTTGCCTGCTCCAGATCGGAAGGTTTTTGGCACTTTTCTTGCTTCTCATGTGCCCACCTCACACAGGTAGCTGGGGACATTTCTCACAAGTCGGTCCCTGAGAAAGTGTACGTTCCGAGCTACAAACACTGTCAAGCATTGTTGGGCTTCACCTGGAGGTGGGAAATCATTCGTGCCACCTTGTCCTTCTTCAAGGCAGACAGGCAGAAAGCTCGTAGCAGCGAGAAGTGTTCGACTCGGAGGAGCACTATGGCCGGGTGTTCTATGTTCCTGGCAACCACGAGCCGAACCCTCAAAGACCATGCACACTCACTCTACTGCAGCATTCGCTCAAGCGTGACGCGTGTCGCCACGGTGTCTGCGTTGTTGTCATATGCAGCAGCTCGACTTCCTCAGCTTGGACGTGCTGCATCTCGCTGCCATCTCGTGTTCGAGTTAAGAATATCAGAATAACGCTGATGTTGACTGTCCGTCATTGTGCATGATTTAGAGCTTCCAGACCTTGTGATGCGAGCGTCGTCGAGTTCCGCGAAGCCTGCGGTGTGTGACATCTTTGTCGTTGCCATGGCGAAGATGGTGAGCCACAGATGTGTGCGATGAGGCTCAGCTCGAGGGGATTGATTGAATTATGTGAGTTTAGGAGAGTGCCGTTGCGGTGATACACCTTTGTGTGTTCACATGCTGCAGTGGCCTGTGACGTGTCTGCTTTGCTGCACGACATTCGGATGGGAACCACCCACGCGCGATTGAATATTTGCGAAGGCTTTAGTACACGGCAGCTTGAGGTTAGGTGGCTTGTGTACGGCATGCTGATCTGGTTCGCTGCCCAGGACCAAGCGAACAATCTGGGACTCCTTCCAACTGCATGCGCGGCCTGCTCGTCGCGCGAGTGGCGTGCGGCTGCAAGAGCAGCTTTGGTATCAGGTGCTGCCTGAGCATGCCCCGCCTGCCTTGGCTATGACATGGGCTGATCTGTTTCATGGCCTGGCCAGCAGTGGAGCCTTCAAAGAGTGCCTTGCTGGGGTTAGGTTAGAGCAATCTGTCAGACTTGCGTGCGTTTCATCAATGCAAAGCCAAAGTTGTTTGCAGCTTGCTTGCACATGGCTGTTTTGACACTTGCATTTAGCTTGCTTGCACATGGCTATCTTGAGGCTTTGGGTTGGTGCAGCGCGATGGCCCTTTCTGCTGCCTCGGCTTCGATGCGTGGAAGGAATCGTATTGCGTCTCCTTAGATACTGTAGCAGTCTTGGTGACCTTGTTGTGTCTCTTTTGCTGCAGTCAGCAGGAGCTCTGAAGCTGGAGGACATTGCCAGTGGCCTCGCTGTGGCCAGTCGAGTGGGAGAGAAGATTCCTGCTGCCATTGGCCTCTTGTTGCCTGGTCCGGGTATTGATGAGACGTACATAAACTCGCAGCTGCCGCCCGTGACATGCCAAACAGATCTCGAAGAACTGCTTGGTTTCGGCACTATATTCCTGAACGCGGCATCCAAACACTGGAGATCTCTCGCCAGGATTTGCCAAGAGGCCGGTGCCGCTTTCGCTTTCCCTGCCAACATCAACGTTTACATCACGGCTCCGGGGCGCGGAGCATCGACACGACCGCATGCAGACCACCACGATGTCCTGATCCTGCAGTCGGAGGGATGCAAGCGCTGGCAAGTTTTCGCGCCTCCACAAGCTTGTTCCGAAAGATTTCGGAAACACCCACTCTATCGGGGCAAAGGTGATGATGTACTGAGTAAGGAGGAGCTGGGCGAGGCATTGCTGGACGTCACTTTGAGACCTGGGGAGTGCCTATTCATACCCTCCGGCTTTCCACATGCTACAAGCACAGCTTGTGAACACACAGGAGAGGTGCCAGCTGCGTCCGTACACCTCACACTGGGCCTGTCTGCCGCGGATTGCGGCCTCACGTATCACACGTCACATGCCTTGACATGGTGACGGTGTGTTTGGAATCCCCATGAACCAAGAGTGCAGTTGATTTCAATCCTCTAATTCATCCTAGAGTCATAGTCGCTCTTTGCAGCGAGGTTGGCGGGACAAGTGCTCCTGGAAATGGGTTTGGAGCCGCCTTTTTCCGAGGAGCTCCCAGAAGCTGGCAGCTTCTGGGCCCTGCAGCGGCCGGTGCCCTTGGGATGCCTGGCCCAAGGAGAAGGTGCCGACGTTGTGCGGCACCTTGCTACCGAGCTCCGGCGTGTGGTGTCAGAGCTCGCAGATCTCAGCAGTGAAGTGCTCGAGATGGGACTCTGGGATGCAGCTTCCCTCGTAGCATCGCGCTGGCATGATATTTGGGCAGACCTCCTTCAGATACACGACGATGGCTACGAGGCTGTGATATCGGCACAGGCTGGAAGCAGCGTGGTTGCAACTGGGCTCATGGGAACCTCTGTCTTTCACTCGTTGCCTCGGCCATGCAACGACGGAGCCTTCGACGGCGTGGAGGACGAGGCAGGAAGTTGTCTTTCTGCATGTCCCGTTGCCGTGCTTTTTCTGGTTCGTGCAGATGCAGGCTGCAGCGGACCCTTCAATCGTTTCTGCGACGTCATCGGCTGCTAAGTTCTGCGAGTTCATCCGCACCCGCGTGCCGGCTTTGGAACTGCACCTCGGCCCTCCAAGTCAAGTTAGACGTGGCACCTGCGAGACTCTGCAAGTAGCTAGCTTGGCCTCTGAGGAGGTGGAGAGATGTCTTCAAGGTGCAGCTGTCTCTCATTCTCCAACTTTTCGTTGTGTCCCGGTGGCTAGCTTGCGGATGAGTCCTGAAACCTGATATTACCTGGTGTAGCCTGCTGACTCAAATGTGGCAGGAGAAGGCAAGCAATCTGAAGATCCCGCCTATCTTCGAGGCTGTCGACTAAACTACTTCACCGCAAGACGAAGTTCTCGGCCACCAAACGCCGCCCGTGGACCATCGCTGGTAACTTGCTCAAGGAACTTGTCTCCTGATCATGGCACAAAGGCAGGTCAGCCGAGCTCGTGCCACCCACCTTGTCGCTTTCTACAACAGGTCAACATCCAGTCAACGCATGCCAGATGGTGGTTGCCACCCGATTGAGCGGACGCAACGGGACTGCGGAGTAGAGGCCGCACTTCAAGATCGCAAGGGCATACGGAGCGCAGAGAGAAAAGCTGGCCACAGCCCACCATCGCTCGCGGGAGATCGTTTCGTCCCGCCGCCGAGGCTGTGGGGTGGTGCAGAGGAGGTCGGCGGTTCTCTTGTTGGACGATGACCGCTGACCATGACTTGATCCCAAGCTTTACACTCATTAAGCCGAGAGTCCTTCCCCAGCTAAGCCTGCCGGCCAGTATCCTTGTTCTGCGTTTCGGGCTTCGCACTATGCAAATAATGGCTTGTGACGGGGATGAAGTCGGGAACGCAGGGGAACTGGGAGGTTGTGCCAGACCAGCTGGCATCAACACTATATACTTCTGTATACATGCCGGGTGTTGGCAGGATTCTATGCAAAAGCTGGAAAAGCTGTTGAAGCTTTGCGCAGAGCTTCACGTCGAGACGGCACCTGCCGAGGAGCCCTTGATTTGTGCTTACGGTTTAGCTGGGCTTCCGCTTCGGCCTGTTTTACGGTCTGTCCTGAACAGGTTGCAACAAGCAGCCGCCGTGTGCTGGTCGTTCCTCTATTGGCCTTTTGCTCAGTCCACAAGGCCTTTTGCGTTGAAGTCTCTTGGCTCCATACTGGCAGATTAGAGGAGTACTTGTGTAGGGTGGGAACATGTCGCGAGAACGCTTAAATGGAACACGACGATGCGAAACAAAGGTTTTTGAGCGAGGCATCAGCATCTTGGACAACGTAGTTGTACCGGCCGGGCAGTAACTTGGGGCTCAGGTGGCGCGTTGGCGGGTGCACGTGAACAGAAGGTTCTCCCGTTTCTACGCCCCTTGTGTCTTGTGACTGTGATGTGCGAGAAACCATTGGCGGGTGATGTGCTCCAGAAACAAGAGCTGGGGGGTAGTTGCAACTCATCTCAACGGTCTCGCGACTAAGTCCTGGCACCATCCTCAATGGGACACAGAACCAGACATCGAAGGCTCTGCCTGTATGCGGCAGTGTATCAGGTCATGCAGCATGGGAAGCATTCTTGCTAGTGGCAGGCTGGCAGGGCTTGCTGCCGGTAGATCAGATGCTCAGTGCCGGCCCCATGCATAAGCCCATGCCTGACAAGTGCCGGGGAAAGCTTTCACAGCTTCTGAGGCGACTACCCGCTGACTCATTGGCCACGAGGGATCTCCATCAAGGCTGGGTGCGAAGGGCGGCTTGTCATAGATAGGTTCCGCCCGTCTAAGTTCCCGCCGTCTAAGTCTAAGTCAGTTGTAGCCCAGCAACCAGCCCGACATCGGACAGCGCCTCCTTTGATCAGGATGGAACAGCAGCTAAAGCGGTTGCCCGAGCCCCAGAGTGGCAGACAAAGCCAAACAAAGCCACAGTTTCAAACGTCATTCCCTCCTCTTTTGCTTCCTCTGCTTTGAGGATAAGATCAACGATCGACTCATGGATTGGGAGCAGATCCTGGCTCGCCGCAAAAGCTTTCATGAGGCCAATCTCCCTTTTCCACCGACTTCTTTCTTCAGCTTTTCAGCTTTGTCCATGGCTGACCGTGGCCAGGTCCTTTCCTTCTCGCACTTTCTGCCTCGCGTCGAGGCACCCCAAGCTCAGAAGCTTCGGGTCCTGGCCCCTTTGTGTTGATTGGAGGCAAATCCTGAAAAAAGATACCTTAGCTACCCAAACCTTGTGCCAATCTCAGCTTCAGCATTAGAGCCCAGGCTGCTCTTGGTCTGCACTTGTGTCCCTCCTTCTCTTCCTCTCGCCCCTCCCTCCGCAGCTGAGGCCAAAGGCATTGGGTCCAACTACCTGCGTGCACGCGTAGAAGCATTGCAGCCGGATGTGCATGCCGGGACACCAAGCGTCACTCTACAGCAGGATTTCACTCTCAGCTGCTCCCTCCGCAAGGTCTTCGGCCATACGCATTTCGGCTACGATCTCGTGGCTGGCACCTCAAGTTCTCTCTTATCGGGGATAGGAGGGGCACTTGCATGCGTAACTGGGCAGCCGATCGGTACAGGTGGATGGAATTCGTTATGTGCAGGCTCCGTTGGCTATGCCCTCGCTCTCAGCACGAAGCTCTTGTCAGCAACTTTGCACTAGCGCGATCGGCTGTGAAAAAAAATCACATTCAGGTCATCCGAGCGGCAATCCCGCGGCACAACGGTGGTGCCGGGCCTGACATGGAACAGACGAGACGACAAGCCGCAAACTTTGATTTCATGTTTGTGAGCGACTGTTTCGAGGCCGTGGGCGATTTTCCGGACGGCAAGTCTCGTCCGCATCCGTTTCTCGCTCGCCACTTGGTTTTGTTTTGTGGTGCCTGTGCAAAGAACGGAAAGGTCAGCCTATGTTCGTGTGGCAGGTTTGGCACTCCCGCAGCGGCTGGGCCCCTCGCTGACCTTTCCTCAGAGCGCTTGTTCTGTTAGCTTGCCGGAGGGATCCCCTCTGGCTGCCACTTTATTGTCTGGGGGTCTTCGACTGAATCTGGCTTCAAGCCAGCTGCTCCCTCATCTTTCCACACCTCAGTGCGCAGTCACCCTGTACAGTAGGGACCTGTTGCTGACACGTGCGAGGTCGGGGAGCAGCTTGGTCAGCCTACGTGGAGCGATATGGTCGGCGCCCAGACGTCACGCCCACATCTCAAGACTTGATCGGTGAATCGAGAGTGGACACATGTGGACACGCACCATGGGTTGAAGTAGCTACAGGTCTCTGGTTCCGTCCTACGATCCGAGCCCAGCGTGGTTTCTCAGTCAGGGAGCGCGGTCTTATCTGCCCATCACCAAGGTAGCAGACTGTGGCCTTGAGCCAATCAGTGCCACTCCTGGGTGCAAGCATGCGTAGCAAGTCATAATCGTGACTCAGATGTGACTCAGGTGGTATTGGCGGCGCAAAAGCCAAAGTGGGATGGCTGCCTGGCAGGCTGCGTGCCTCTGTTGTTCGAGGTCTTTGCTTCGTACATTGATTAATCGAACGTCGCATAAAATTACAATCAGGATGCCTGTCTGGTTCTTCGGGCCACGTGAGCACAGAATCCGCGAGGCACACTTGGCATCTCTTGGACCACGATCTACACCAACTTATCCTTGACGGTCGGTGTTTATTGCAGGCAGCAGCAGAGGCCGACAAGGTTGCAGAACGTTTGCGGAAAGAGGCGGCCAGATACCAAGCACACGAAGCCCGGTAGGTGGCGGCATTTCAGCTGAAGATTCATGTCGGGAGCGATCGTATTCTGTCTTCATCTACATCTCGAAGATTCGGATGCAAAAGAAACAGCATTCGCAGGCTTAAGAGAGGCCAGCCAGGCTTTGACAAAGGGGCCCATAAGAGCGAAGAGGCGAGAACCCAAAAGTCGCCGCTCGAGGCCGGCACCTTCAAGCGTGCGGGCACCTTCAAGCATCGGAAACAGCAGATCGGATCCGATGAGCCTCTTCCCATCGAGGCCTCTGAGGCCGGCTACAGGGCAGCTAGAGAGTGATTTACATGTCATGTTCGGGTCTGGCAGCCGCAGCTCTGGAAGCCTTGCTCCAACTCCAGTACAGTCGGATCCGTCGTCCGCGCGAGGTAGCGATCCTGATGAACAAGGCAGGCAGTGTGAGCTGTCCGAGCATTTTGCCCCGCGCCTTGAGCCTTCGTCTCGTCGACAGCCGTGCTGGACATCACCAGTCCGAGGAGGAGGAGGAGGAGGATTGGCTGTAGCAGCAGCAGCAGCAGCGACAGGAACACGGGCGAGTAGCGACAGGAGGGGGGGGAACACGGGCCATTCCGAGCAAAAGTGGCAGTAGCTGCGGCAACCGTAATTTTCGTGCGTCCCGTGGTCCTTCGTTCCTCCCCAGCAGCTTCCGAGACTGCGGACAGGCTTGCGCATGCAAGCACAGTAGGCTACGTATAGGTTCGTCATCACAAAACGTCAGGAGGATGACGAAGAAACCGTCCTACCTCATGCCTGAAGCATGTCATCTTGATGGAGGTCAGGGGAAAGCTCTGGCAAGAGCCCGGCTTCGCTTCAGATTGGCTTGTTTGGGGCTCCAGTGGCAGGAAGTCGAGTTGAAAGCATGGATTGTCATATTATGCGAAATTTTGTATATACAACTACAGTGAAACGGTTGTGTATGTGTATGACTCTATAACCTTAAAGTGTAAGTTCTGGGACAGAGGTACATTCAAGCAAGTGCTGCATTGTCGTGGTCGTCGTTGCCACAGTCTTCAGGACTTTGTACGACCCTGGCTGACCTGTTGCCAGGGGGAGGTCGCAATTCTTGACGTTAGAGAGGGCGACTTCGCTAGCCGGCCTGCCGGATGCGTGCCTTTGCCGGAGCCTCGAACCCGAAAAGACAGGCAAATACTTTCCGCTTCCTTGGTCTTGAAATGTCCGACCTTCTTGTAGTTCGCGTGCTGAAACGGGCGGTTCAGGTCGCACCCATCAGAAACCAGCAACTTTGCAGCTCTCCCGGATGCAGAGCTTCTGGAGCTCGGTGAGCGGATGATGACAGGAGGGGGGCCGCTGACCTGGCACACAGCGGCAATTTTGGACGGGTTGGAGATGCTTGCCATGGACTCAGGCCACGCATCTTGGTGGGAGAAGGAAGCTCGCCAGCCATCCCGACATCACTTGCCTGGCTGCGGCGCTCCTCGACAGGGCCTTTGTGATCTTTGTGCCAGGCCAGCTGCCGCCATGCTGCGTTGCTCCTGGCTGCCCTTCTTCGCCTGTGGCCGAGGCTCGAAACGTAGCTTTGCAAAACGAAGCTACTCGTACTTGTGTAGTTGTATTTCTCGCGTGCGCGCGCGGTTGTGTGTGAGTCTGTCCGTCCGTCTGTCTGTCTGTCTGTCTGTCTGTCTGTCTGTCTGTCTGTCTGTCTGTCTGTGTGTGGGTCTGTCGGTCTGTCTGTCTATCTGTCTCTGTCTGAGAGTGAGGGTGCCTGGTAGGAGCAACGCCGTTCTGTAGGGCAGACTCGGCTCAATGCTCGATTTGTGCAGTTCTGGGTCTTGAGCTACAGCTATTCCAGCTATGCGGCAAGTCTGGAAGACGGCTTCTCTCTGGGCGAGAGCTTCTCGTCTTCTGGCCGCAGCCTTTTGCATGTCTCAATGGCTGCGGAGACCGGGATCTGCTTCTGTTGCCGTTCAAGGGTCGTTGCGCCCAGGATTGTGGGCTCACCGGAAGGTTGATATCGAAGGACAGGAGCTAGGGGAGCGCAGCATTACCTTGGAGCAACGCCCAGACTTAAAGCCGTCCATGCTGCACATCTTGGAGCGGGCGCTGTCAACTGAAGAGGTGGCCTCGATACTGGAGATGTTTAGTCAGGAGAGGCTTTCAACAGCGGAAGCTTTGCATAACCCAGTCCGGTCGCCTTGTGTGGTGCTAGCAGAAGATGGTTGCTGGAAGCCAGGTCCTTTGAGTGAGCAGGTCCGAGTGGTAGTGGAAGAGCGGCTGCTGGTCTTCATGCGCATGGCCCTCGCTTGCAAAAGCTTGGAGGTGGCCCAAGTCATCTTACGCTACTACCCAAAGGATAGCTGCAGGAGTCATGAGGTCCACACAGACCACACAGCATTCGGCACTGCGGTGGCAGACCTGACCCCGGAATCAGGGAGCGGTCTCTTCGTTTGCAGCCAGAGCCACGGCGAGCATGATGGGGATGGGACAAGCGCTGGCACTTTCTTCGTACCTTTCGAGCCAGGTGATGTTGCGGTGCACAGCTGGGAGGTTTGGCACGGAATTCAGTTGAAACAGGGGCACGAGAGGGTCTCCCTGATCGTATGGGTGCGTCCAAGCAGCGATGTTTCCAGAGGAAGCTGCAGTTGGTATTGGGCCCCTGAGTTACAGGAGGACACCAGGGCGGCTTATCACATGGGCATCGAGGCATGGAGGCAGCGCCAGCTGGGCCGCACAAAGGCTGCACTTCTGCAGGTGACGCTCGATGAAAGAGATGCCAGACACCTGCGCTCCAGGTTGAGGGCCTTGGGCGGCAAGCGGCAGGCAGAGTTGTGGTACATCAGGTGCATGGCTGCTGCTTCACGCACGAGGCTTGGTGATGGCAAATTCGCCAGACGACTACGAGAACAGGCGGAAGCAGAAGCAGCAGGTTCGGCTTTGCAGCGATTGAGGGGCGTGAAGGCCAGGCCGGCCCAGAAGGTCAAAGCTGCGAAAGCGATGCGTGGCGCCTTCAGGCATGGCTGGGAAGATGCGCAGAGAGGTCTTCCAGACCTTCGCGATGTTGAGTCAACAGTGACGAAACCCCCGGAGAGCACACCGGCCGAGATCGACTTCGTGAGCCGTTTAAGAGATCGCACCAACGCAGCGCGACTCTTGCAGCAATCGGGGTTGGTGGTGTTTACCGGGCCGATAGATGCATTGAAGTTTGATCTCTTGCAGAAGGCTCTGGGAGACTTTCAGAAACAGTTTGCAGCCCTAGAGCGCCAGCTCGACCATAGAGGCATCTCCATGCAGATGCCTTTCGAGTTCAACGAGGTTTGTAGCCGCTTGCCCGAAAGATACGATGTCCGTCTGCCTATCGAAGACTCACGCGATGCTTATCGCCTGGAAGAGATGCCTTGGATGCAGCTGATTCGTGATGTACTGGGCATAGCTAGCAAGGAGCTCTCGGAGCAGGTACTTGTAGCAGCATTCACACATTCCGAAGGGTTGTTGAGGAACTTAAGTTAAGAAGCGGGGTCTTAGCTTGTCCAGGAGCTCTGGCGTGGGGTATTGCTGAGCAGACCTGGAGCCCCGGCACAGCCGTGGCACAGGGACTCCGGGCAGCTCTTTGAGGGAGGTCCCACACAGACTCCTGCACATGCAGTCACCGTCTTCGCCCCACTCGTCGAAGTCTCTTCTGACATGGGCCGAACAAGCTTTGTCCCTGATTCGCACCTTACTGGCGACATTAATTGCAACGAAGCGGGTGTTTCTCATGTTACCCCTGTACTTCCTTATGGCTCTTGGCTTGCCTTTGACAATCGGATTGTCCACAGGGGTGAAGCAAACAGCGCCGTTGACATGGATCGGCCACTGCTTTACTTCGTCTACGGGAAGCCTTGGTTTCAAGACGTGAACAACTTCCCGTCCGACAAGCCATTGTACCTCACCCCGGAGACGGAGAGTCCTCGATGGTAAATTTGAGAGCCGTTTGTGGCCTTGGAAAAGAAGTCCACCGAAGCTTTCCTCGACAGCTGCACAGTGTGGATCTGTGAGGATTGGCCGTCGAATTGCGAGCAAAAGGAGTGTGTTACGTGCAGAGCACAGGAGAGGGGATATCGGTACTAAGAAGCTACTCGTAGATGTTGCATTCGGAGCGGATTTGCGCAGCGCCCCTTCTCGTCACAGGGACGTGCGACCACTTCGCGGTGGCTTCGATGCTTGGGTGAAACAAGGCCTCCCAGTGGAAGCCACAGGCTCACTGGGACATGGAGGCTACTGATTAGGCTTCGACAGTTGCAGCCAGTCGGCAGGGCTTCTGCCTTTGCATCATGTACAGCAGATCGCATGTTGATATTGACTCTCAGGCATTTAGTTATGCGGCCGTCCTTGACCTTTGTCGCCAGCTGTTATCCGAAAAGAGGGCAGCCAGAGCATTTGCTTTGGGCACAGCTTGTTCGGACACGTTGCCATGCACCTCGTGTGGTAGCAGTGCCTGCAACGCTCTCTGTTCCAACATGTTCCAACTGTTTAGCCGCGATGAGATGACACAGCCTCGACGAAAAATTGAGCAGTGCGGAATTGCCGAACTTCAGTCGCGAAGCTGCAGCAAGGGCCAGCGCCGGTTCCCTGAGCCAAGATGCTGATGGACTGCAGCTTCAAGCATTTAAAAGACAGTCGCATGACTGTGAGCAAAAAGCCACAGCCGCAGGAAGCACGACAAGCACCTCATGGTCACACACTGCGTACGCACTATCGACCCTATCAAGTGCCATTTGATTTCGCCCATTCTCCAGCAGCCACATGCAGCACAGCCAAATTAGCAGGAAGAGGTACTCGTAGTTACCATCTGACCTTGTTGAATATTCAATTGCCAGTGCTTGCAGCTGATCTTCCCCGAATGGCTGAGCCTTGGCAGAACCAGAGGTGAAGCACCATGCCGAATCGATCTGGGTGCTTCCTGCATCTCTTTGGCTTACTTCATTCGCTACAATTGAGGATGCAGCACCAGCCGCTGCGGCTGAAGCAGGTCAGACCATCCCGCGACAATTTTGTATTTGGCACTCTGATCGCTTGTCGGTCCAGCCCTCTAGGCGAGGAGGCACGTGGATCCCGTGTCAATGTGAAGAACCTGTGCCAAAGCAGCTCGGCGGCAAAGGGGCTTCTTTAGATCCTTTGGTTGTCTCTTACAGCACCCCGTGACTAGGTACCCAGTGTCGAAGATTGGTTGTTGGTTCAGGCAAGGAATGAATAGATGTCTTCCGACAAGCAGAGAAAAACGGAACTTTGGCTACACCAAGCGTGGCCACTGCTCAAACCCTCTACTGTAGCGGCAACAGATGCTAGGCAACTCGTAGACATAGAAGCTCGGCGAGAGCCTCTGTGTTGTGATGAACCCAAGTACTCCGAGTGGAACGGAGCAGCTATGCTTCCGATCACGGCGGTGGGCCAGGCCCCTGCATCTCCAGAAGAAGCATGAGTATCTCGAGTTGTGTGACCTAGTCCCGGACAACAAACTAGTCAAATAGTCGCATCTCGTAGACAGCAGTTGGTCATGCTATCACTGGCTGAGCTCTTCAAGGGTGGACCCGAGTAACTCATGGATGCAGATCTCGCCCAAAACTATTGAACGAAGCTCGCCCTCAGACACCGCCCTGCTCGCCGGTAACTGCGGTTTCTTAGCCTCGCAATGCCTCAAAAGGTACCACGGCAGATGAACTGAAGAGCTTCTTTGCCTGCTGTGGCACTGTTACTGATGCTGGGGACCAAGGCTTTCAGCAAGGATTCAAGTACAGATCACAGATTTCCTTTCAGTTAGACCCACATGGTGCCGACCGATACAGACAGAGTTTGGCATCAGACATCAGGTGGAAGTCAAGGTTCACCCAGACGGTTCTTCCAAAGGCTATGGCTTCGTCTGCTTTTCGCCACCGGCTCAGTACTGTTCCAAAGACTCGACAAGGGTCCGCAGGGTCGGACATCACATAAGCTGAGACGCCTACTCGTCCATGTCCAGGACCCCAGAAGAAGCAGACAAAGCTGTGGCCGAAATGAACGCCAGCCTCTTTTCGCACAGACTGTTGCCAGTTGCCTTCTCGGATAAGTGTTGGATTCAGCCCACATGTGCAGGGAAAGACTTTAGAGGACCCGTGGAAAAGCAAACCTTGTGTTTGGAATATCTTGGAATCAAACATGTGCAAAACACCGGCGTTGTTGGGAGGAGAACAAACTCGTCGTCGCAGCCTCAACCTGTTAGGGTGCCAAAGGCTGTGTCCTTTTAGTCTAAACCTGAGGTGAAAATCGCTGAGCGACGGTACGCAGAGGGGAAAGGCGAAGCAGGCACCGGAACGAACCTTCACAGACTCAGGATCCGCATATCCGGATCCAAGCCATGTCATGCCGGGTGGCGTAGCAACTTGTGAAGCCCCCGCGCAGCCGAGAGTCTCAGGCAAAGGCAAGAGCAAGGGCAAGGGCAAGCAGAAGGTCGGGCTGACATGGACTCAGTGCCTGGAAGAGCTCGTGAAGACAACCTGACAGGCACAGCTTGGCTACATGGACCCCTACGCCATGTACGGTGCAGGACCGAGGTTTGTTGAAGTGGCACGAATCCAGGGGAACAAACAGAGAGCTGTCGCCCCAGCAATGGGGTGGTGAGGTCAAGTAATGGATCCGATGCCGGATTCTTGGATTCCAGTCACGGTGCCGGGCTACCGGCAATGGCATCTTCAGTCTGTATAGTCTGTGTGATACACCTGTGGCCCAGGGTCGCAGCCATGGGCTACCCGTGCTCTGGTTGTCCAGCATGTCTCGATCGGATGTTGCTGCATGCTTCTAGCAGGTACTACGATGCTTCCAGCATGATGAACCCCTACGGCTACGATCTTGGGGCGATCTACAATGCCATGCCGAGGTCTCGGGTTGTCACGATAGCAGAAGATGTGCGGCCTCGGGCCACATTTTTCACCGTGCTCCCACTGGCCCACTAGAAAACTCTATTGCTCTCATCCGTTTGAGGTATGGCACACAAGGCATGCCATGCATGCCGCAGATGTACAGCGGATTTCCGATGGGAGCTGGGCGCTCGGAAAAGCTGGGAGGCAGGCCGAAGCCATGGCCCAAAGTCCGAGGCCATGCCTGGCATGCCGATGCCCAGAACGGGCAAGGCACGACGGGCATGCCTCAGTGCGCGAACCGTTCAGAGTAAAGGCTTCGTTTGTGCAGGAGCCGGGTGTCGTCGACCCAAATGCCATCTTGGCACTGCAGCAAGCACAGGCCTTCGCTCTTCAGTCGCAGGCGTGCTAGTGCTTTTGATAGAGAGCTTTGTGGGAGAGCTGGCCGCTAGCTTGCTCGACAACTACAGCTGGAGGCTATGGAAGCTGCCAGGGACCATAAGGCCCGCAAGCTTTATTGATGGTTTTCCATCAGTCGAGTATCTTCCACCATTTTTGGTTGCTGAGTCTGTGACTGGAGTGTCCTGAGATCGACCCAGTGTATACAGATCTTCCGAGGCAGGTGGTGCGAACAAAGATGACAAGGGCAAAGGGAAAGGCGATGCAGCATTCTGTGTTCCTCTCTGTAAGTGCGGGCAGTGATCCACGGGGGCAGGTGCACAAAGCAAGGGTAAAGGTAAGTCTGGGAAGGTGAAGGCGTCCCAGGACCTGGGCGCTGGTGTTTGGAGCATCAGGGCTTCATGGCCCCATGGACTTGCATTGCCTTGCACGAAGAGAAAACGTGAGAGCCAGGAAAATACCGGCCCCATGCCGGAAGCTCCTCCGCCGGACCAGGCTGGGGACCTGGGAGCGTGAATGCTAAGAAGTCTGTGAGTTGTGTAGTAGCAGTATAGGAGTAGCCGGAAGAGTAGACGGAAGAGTAGAAATAGAAGTAGAAGAAGTAGCGGTGCAGAGTTACGAGTAGCAGCAGCAACAGTAGAGGCTGTAGTAGAAGTAGACAGTAGAATGGAGCTGGACACCCACAGCCTAACTCATGCCCCCAGGAGCATGACGATCATCCCCTTGACTATTCCCACAAACATCCCTCACATGCGGTACTCACGGTAGTCGCTCAGTATTGTAGTCGTAATCTTATTATGGGCACTGTGAGAGCGCCCATCTGGGATCATCTGGCAGCACTGGAGCGATAAGCCAGACATGGGCACTGTAAGAGGGCCCATGTCTAGGACACGGGCACTGAGAGGGGGCCCATGTGGGTTCCGCGGGGGAACATCCGACAGAATTGGAACCGGCGGCTACACATGGGCACTGTTAGAGGGCCCCATGTGAATCGTTGTGGTTTATGATCGGACAGGCTTGAAGAGATTCCGAGAAGGATGTTTCCAGGTGATGTGTGTGTGTGTGTGTGTCAGTGTGTGTGTGTGTGTGTGTGTCTGTGTTTGTGTTTGTGTGTGTTTGTG